GCTTTTAACTTGAAATGTCTCCTCGATTGTTCTATACTTACTACAAGTTTCTTAGTTGAAGAAAACATATGAAAAACAAATTGATTAAGCAGCTATTTCACAGGCATGCTAAATGTTACAGTGAAGACAACAGAATAGCTAAGAGCAATTGCTCGTTAAAGATTTCCAGCATCACCATGTCAGGGGGAAGGGAGAAGACAACAAATAAGTCACTGCCAGCAGCAGGATTCATTAAAGTCTTGAACTATGCTTCTTGTGATCTGCCTGAATTTTTAAACAACCAGAATTCTCCTTAGTACCATACGATGTTAGCTCTTAAACATCAATAAACCTGCATCCCACGACTCTGAATAACTGGTGCAGTACATAAGTCACTTCTAACTCTTACAATCTAGCCATAACAGTGCTAACACATGGGAATCTCAACCTGCTTTCTGAGTTTTTTAAGTGGTATGATTTAAGAATATAAGTATTGAATGTAAATATTTCCTACCTTTCCCCACAGCTTTATTGTAGAGCTTATGTGCAAGGAGGTTTGTCCGTTACACCAAACTACATACACTTCATTAACATCATTATTTATTTATTTTTAAATATATGACAGAGATAAGGAGCTCTCTCTCAACTCATTAGATTTCAGTGCTTCTCTTTTCAGTTCCATTTTCTAACCCTCATCCATCCTGTCTGTACAGACACTTTAGAATACACCCCCCGATTTCTCACCCTTTCCTCTGCTCACAAGATGTTTAAAGTTAAGGTTACTTTTAAGATTTTTGTAGCACTCTTCTCTAAGGAGATAAAATTTGGTTATAATGGTCACATTTCCATGGTGATCATTTCTTAGTGTATGGTGTTGCATTATTAGTAAGCATCACAACTTCTTTCTGTTAGTATGCTTTTCCTTGAGATAATCTACATCATATTTTGTTGATTTTGTAATCAAAAATCATTATTTTTTAAATAAGATTTCAAGAATGTGCAACTTTCTGGCAACCAAAAGTAAAGCCATCCTCATGGTGACAAATTTTGAAAAATAAGTATTTTAATTCTCCTACTGAAGTTAAAATAAACATCCACAGATGTAAAGACTGAAATTTCTTAAGTTATGGGCAAAATAATCCTGATACCTGCTCCTCCCAGTTACAATGACTTTTTTTGAGGATAAGAAAAGTAATAAAATTCTGTAAGTCACTTCTCGAAAAGCAACTTTTTAAGCTACATTATGAGTAAGAAAAGTTACATTTAACTCAGTGTGCAGAAAGCATGCCTACATATATTAATGATGCATTAAGCCTGAATGAAATCTGTCCAATATTAATACAGAGGCTGCACTGTACATACAAGTGTCAAACGCTAACATCTGCAAGTTCAGGAAATAAGTTACAAACAGACTCGGTTACAAAGACAATGTTAGAGCACAGCTATAGAAACAACTATTTAAAATATATATATTTTTTTTAAAGTGTTCAATCCTGAAGGACAAGCATTTCTCCCCACTTCCTCCATCATTTCTGCAAGCCATGCAAGATGGCTTTTTTTAAGGAAAAAACAAACCTTTTTTTCCCGTCCCATGATATACATGTCTCTGTTTAACATCAACACAATACTTGAGTTGAGAAATGTCTAGGTTATTACTCAGAAAATCCAAATGTGAAAGTCTCTTGTCAATGCAGTTAAGGCAAGTATGAAGGGTCTTGCTGAAATCAAAATTAAAATTATCTCAACTGAAAAAAATAATCAGTAGGTTCCTGAATAATGCCAGCTACTGTCATAACCGATCTGAGCCCTTTACAGTAAAAATGCATGCAAAGCAGATAGCAGATGAGAACAATAAAAGCATTGTTATGTCTACACGATAATAGATTTCAAAACTGAAACACTCGCAAATAATTTATGCAACGCAAGCGCTTAGTAAATGTCACAGCAGAAGTGACAGTTTAAACTATTCCTGGGATGTTAAAAAAGGAAAACATCTGTAAGGGCAGGGAAATATCTTGACTGAAAACAGAAATGGTAACAGTGCCCAGAATACCATCCCTGATCCTGGTATCTACCCTTTCATGAAATGCAATGAGACTGGAAAAACATTTAAAGGCAGAGTCAGTAAAATTCCTCAGTATTTAAAAAGCTATGACTTTAGCAGCACAATTTTTCAGCATGCCGAATAAGAAGTTTAAGAACGTTTAAGTTTAAAGAGTAATTCTCTGCTCTTAAAGTTGACAGTGGAGATGATCCCAGCTCAGAAAAAATTTAATAAGGGAAGTAAAGAAATATTTTACAGAAAATTGGGATGCATTCCAAAAAGTGGACTACAAATCTGAACTCAGGAGGAAATAACATCTGTAAGCTATAGATGAGAACAGGGGACATGTATACCCTTGTTGGTTTGTAGCAATCACCTTTTCTGACATTAAGCCCTGTGAATCTGTGAGGTCTCCTGAGTCATTCCAGGATGCACGAGGAGGAGCAAGGACAGGAAAAATTTCATTGCCCTCAATAAAATATTAACATTAGCAGCTTTGTATTGAGAAAAATAAATATTTTAACTTCTATGTTTCAAGGCTTCAGCCAGTTGCCTGCATGAATCATGACCAGCCTACCTTCATATGGGACTGTAATGCTTCTCACCATTATATCATGAGAAAGTAGCCTTATTTTGCTCCCAACAGGCTAAAGGAACCTCTTAATTAGCACACCAAGTAATATTTCATTGATTAAGAAAAACAGGTCATAAAAACAAGTATCTATACCAAGAACTTTGGACTCTCCTCTCCCATTAAAAGAACAAGTTCACCACGGATGAGGGAAGTGCAATAGCAAAGCTTATCCAGCTCCTCACACCTACTACTAAACTGGCTCGTGCAGTGCTGGTAGCCCCGAGAGAGACTTTTGTTCAAGCACACGATTGTGCAGCACCAGAAAAATACACAGGGGGAAATCATACGAGGAAAATTTGGCCCGGAATAAAAATAGATTGGTTTCCTGCTGCGACCATCCCAAAATTCCTGAACAATTGCCTGTGGGAAGCTCGTCTGGCGTGCAGCCTGTTTAGGACAATTCTGGGTAAGGAATAGCTGGCTGCTAGGATGTCTGGGTTGTTCAGTTTCAGAAACAGAAAAACTAAGTCATGACTGTGAGTCAAAACGAAGTGGAATCTAATCTCTAAACATGCAGATCATTAGCAGCTTCTTCTAAGTCATCCAGCTGCACTGCTACATTTTTTAAGAATTCCTTAGTCATTAGTTTTATGTTTGAAGAGTTCAAGTGACAAGAGCTCCAGAATGGGAATGCTGACATAAGAAAAAAGATGAGGTACCAGCAAATTCAATTATATCAGAAAAGCCACTTCTCTCCTTACTAAAAGTTTGAATCTACAGCAAATCTGACATAAATGCACTTATAAAAAAGCAACAACAACGCACAGGCTGCAATTAAATAGTAATTGGATTTGTCATTTCAAAGTATCAGCATCAGATTTCCAGATAATACAGGGTGACATACTCTTATGCTAATAAACAGAAAGTTAGCAAAGTAAACAAATGCTGTGTTTCTACTGTAAGGAAATACGTGCGCCAATGAAGCAACCTTTTCAGCACAAAAGTAATTTAATACTCAAACCACATGAAAAGCGATCTCTCTGGGAATAGCACAGCTGCTAAAATCCAAGTCAGTTTTTATTAAATCATCAAGTCTGTTTATTTAAAACAGAGCTCTCTTAAAATGACCTCCAAGAGGAAATGATTTGCTAACAAAAAATTGATACCTGCATTTAATTTATCTACATCAATGTATGTTTTCATATATCAATATGTCCCTGAATCAGAAATAAAACGAAAAAAGAAAGCAAGCTTGTTTTAAAATTTTTATCACTTCTAACTACTGCTGTGCTTTTAGCTATTCAAGAGGGTAGATACACATTGCTTAAAAAATAACTGCAGTTTTAAGTTTCATGGTTGAACTTTTGAGGAGAAAATGGACATAGAAATTCCACCAAAACTTGTCAAATGTACCAGGACAGCCTGGAGAAATAACAGGAATTCTGTAAAAGAAGAATTTCTGCAAGACATCTTAAAGTCTCAAAAAATGATAGTCCCTCAAGAGTTTTTGATAGCTATTTGAAACAGGAAGGATAACTGCAGTGGAAACAATGGAAAGAAATTCTTGCAATAAGTCCCTAGGTACATAAAAGTTAACTAAATTAATGGCACTCCCAAGCAGGCCAAATCATGAGTCAAAACTTCTGAATCTTCATATTGAGATATCCCAGTCAAAGCTTCTTAAGCTTGCGCTACACTGCCATAGAAAACTTGCCAGAAAAACTTTAAGGCCACAATACAGGAAAACAATCCAAGACTGAAGAGGAGGCCTCACACAGACACATTAGCGGGCTGCCCTAGTGTTCTGGCAAGACATAGCTCAGATCCTAGCAACAGCTGTAAATCCATTAGGTGACTCAGGACTGTCAACACCAGCATCAAAATGAAACAGTTTTTTTCAATAAAGAAACGTTATGGAAGTACTTTTTTTCTTATGTATTTCTTATATATCGTTTTATACCATAAAACACAAATTTAGACAACTTCACATATTTGTAACAATATTAACTTCAAGACATTTAAACAGATACATTTACTCCCTGGACATCAGAAATAATTTCTTAAACAAAAATGGCAATTTTATTTCTTCCTATAAAGCTAGAAGCATTTAACAGTACATACGTGATAAACTTTTTAGAAATGTGTCATCTCTCATCTCTGCTTTCATCCAGCTGTGAGCAAAATGTTTGTGGAGATAGCATGCTGACAGGTTATGCAAAAAAAATGAAAATTGGAAAACAGCTAAAAAATTAGCATGAGGGCAAAAAGAATTTTAGCAAGAAATGAGAACACAGATTCCAAACCCTAAAAATGTTAAATACAAAGCAGACCTCGGCTTCACAAGACTGACCTAGAGCAAAACATTCTGTATATAGACAAAGTACAGTGAAAACTCAGACTTACTTTGGGGGAACAGGCTGTGCACTTATCAAATGCCAGGCTGACCGGCAGAACATTATCAAATCTTGATAAAAACCCACGGATCTGGAAGATAAAAAAAAATACAACACTTTTATAATTATAAAAAACATACTTCCAAAATTCTCTGAGTTGGACACATTCAGTATAACGATGAAGAACAGCTGTAACTAGGGTAGTAATGGTCTAACACAATGAAGACCACCACCACCAGCTGTACCGAATTTATACACAGCATATATTGATGTTTTTCTATATATAAATAATGGTACAACTGTCTGAACACAAGACTGTTTAAACATAGAGGCACAGCACCACCTGCAGTTTGAGTTTATTTTTTACTTAATTTTCCAGTCCCCAAAAAGCCATGGTATAACAAGTTAAACACAATCTGAAAAACGTGTTATAGGGATGGGAAAAAAATTACTGTTGTACATGCCTAAATTATGCTGTTAATACAATATTACTGATACTTAGTTTTAAAATTCTAGACCATAGTTTCTTGTAACAGGGATAGCTCTGCAAACAGGGTGACTGGTTTGACTGAACTCTGAAACTCTGTAATATTGATTATCCTTTTTACTCTGTGCTTTTAAAGGTCTGCTAGGACAGAGAGCACTCACTAAGAACAGAACTTACATAGCTCTGCAATACAAGTAATAATGCTTGAATTAACATGGAAGTCTATCATAGAAAACACTTTCAAAACACACTCTACATATTTAACTGCAGTTGCAAGTGGCACACATCTTGGAAGCCACCAGCAACTTAAATAGCATTAACTCCACGACAATTTTGTAGAAAAACCAAGCCATCCACAACGTTAGAATGCAAAAATGCAGTCATTCTCAACCACAAACCACACCCAGGAAAAGAGGAAAACAAGAAAATCAAGTCTTTCTGACACCACATGTTTTGTATTTCTGTTATCTTGGGAACTCCAAGACACTCCCTGGAAATATGTTTGGTTCACTTATGACAAAGACTATGAGTGTACAGAATTTATTAGCCACTAAGGAACAAGTTCTCAATACTGAGGACTGGTAATAAAATAACCACAGAACACCACAAACAAACACCGGAAAGTACATTAATTCTAGATTCCTAGAGAAAGTAGCGTGCTCACTGAATTGATTTGATGGATGACTGCTCAAATAAACCAGCAGCTGTAAAACGATTAGTTGTCATGATATTTCAAAAACATGCTTTACAATCTATATCTACTAAACGTGTTAGAATGTCTAACTAGAGAAGACATTCACGACAGTCACTACACAAGTATGAAAACAGATATACAGTTGACAAGTGATAACTTAATAGCAAGATATGATCCATCTCAAATATGGACTTTAATCTGATCTCAAAAGTATAGCCCAAAACAGAAAAATACTGCATGTAAAATCACATAGGGGTATAAAAAAATGGCAGACATCTGACTAGAGTCTCAACATTCTCATAAGGAAATACATAAAATTATTTTTCAAGTAGAAAGGAGTAAACTTCCTAAAGTATATGCTAAATACCTTACTATTTCTAGCTTTTCTTTGGAAAAAAAATTGCTTTTCTTAGATGCTAAGAGAAAGTTCAGAACTGTTTTCCAGAGGTTTGGAATAAAGTCATAATTTTGAAACAAAGTCCCTTTGTGAAACAAGACTCAAAGTTTTAACTTTCAAAATTATTGACGTTACGTTTAAAAATGAACATCTCAGCATTATTTCATATCAGAGGAAAGCATCAAGATGATTACAGAAAACTACGAAAGATTTTAATTATGCCATACAGTTTTCAACTAAGAAAGCAAAATCTTATTCAGAACTAAATCAGGAGATTATCCTGGATCATCAAATGAGTGACAGACAGATTTGGCTCTTTCTCTTGAGATAGGAGAGCAAAAAGACACTGCAGCAGTTGTCTCAGGTTGGGTCTTGTTGACAACAGCATTAGCATATTAGCTACAAGAGGGTTAAGGGAGTAACTTAGTTTATAATGGAGTGCCCTGACTGCAAACAACTTGTCATTCTGAAAGTTAGAAACAAATCAATTAACACCAAAGCCAGAAACTGTTGATAACTTTCCAGATGAGCAGATTATGGATTATGACCACCAATGAGGACAGATAGTTGTTACAAAGTACTCTGACAGGATCAAAACAAGTCTGTGGAGAACAAGATATTCTCTACCAATGCTGTAGCTGACAGTGCCCACTGTAACAAGCAGAAAAGCTCCAAGGGCATAGGAGACACACACTTGAGAGAGAACTGGAGAGATTCCAGAGTTAACAGAAAAAAAAAAAACAAAAAAACAGATAAAGCCCAGGGAACCCCACTGTAAAACATGATCCATGTGTAAATACTGGTTACTACATAAAACTATAAACAAAATTAGACTAATTTTATGTAGACTTCTCTGTGATTAGCTGGACATCACAAAAGAAAGCACAGTAGTACCTTTGTGTTTTTCTGAATTAAGATTCACTCTGAGCACACAAAAAACAAAGAGAATCCAAACACATCATTTATAAACAGAAAAGAATTATTTATACAACAGATGCATCTGAACAAAGAGATACTCAGATAAGCAATATAAAGCAAGAGGAGCAAAAGACTTTAAATCCCCAGTGATACATCACAGGATATCTGATTAAGTGGGTAAGATCAACAGGGCAGTACTTTGAAAGACCGTATCGATACACTGGATAGACTTGTCTTTGTTATTGTGAAAATAGTACCTTAAACACTAATTTGTAACTCTAGTTTGGGTTGAGTAGAACAAAATGAAGACTGATGTACTGCATCCAAAATTCATGAATATTTTAGAGAACTATAATAGATGTTGGCTGAATTTTAACATTATTTTTCAACCTAAGAGTGAATTTAAAAAGAAAATAAGAGCAACTTTGAGATGCTCACAGTCTCAGCTCTGATAGGGAAAAGTCAAAGGTTACATATTTAAATGTTGCCTGTTAGGGGATTCCTCTGTCCAAATAAATTCCTGCTAAGTAGGCAGTGTTGGGACAGAAACATTGCCAGGAACACTACAGCCTTGGCTTTTATGACGGCTTCTTATTTATTTTTAAACCAAGCACGGAGACTCAGTCCTTGTGGGAAAAGAATCTGATCAGCATACAGTGTATTCTATTAAGGAAACAGGCTGAGATATGGATCTTATATCAGTACCCAGCTTTTAAACGAAAACATTTACTCACAGATTACTTACCTGATGAGGAACAAGTCCAAGAGAAGTAGGTGGTTCATTCATTCTATCATCACTACTGCTGGCCACAGCATAACCACTGCCAAAAATCCAAGAATCAAAGTCAGAACAACGACAACATACTGGACAGACTGGACAGTAAGTTACCATACATTTCATTACAGGTTGCAGTTTAGAACCTAGAAAGTCTGTTTCATAGTAGTAACCAGGCTTCAGCAGGAAAATACAAAAATGCTTTGTCAGAATTTGGAGTAACATACTCATATCCAAACCTAGCTCTCCTTCTCTTTCAAAGGTTTTTAAAAAGAAAAACAAGTCTAAATTTCAGGTTAGAGAATTCCAGAGTCATTTCTGAATTAAGCCCACTTAATTTTAGCTAAGATTTTGAAACACTTTGCTTATCTGAAAGCCCTTTGTGTGACAGAAGTGTTTATGACAGTTCCTCATTACACTAAAACACACTCTTCAGCAAAGGAATCCCAAGATCTAGTAACAGGAAACACACTGTTCTTCTGAAATATTCTCAGTACTTTTCTACTTTTGAGCTCAGAAGGAGGGAAAACTGCCAATCTCCAATACAAAAAAGAATATATACAGATTTGATCATTCAGTTCTCTTAATACTGTTAAATTACAGTAACAGAAGATATGGCCTATAAATTAGATTAACTTACAGGCAACATCACACATTACAGAATTGCCCTACTTAACGTGTACTTCCCTCTTCCTTCTCCCAGAAGATTACGTTAAGAAAACACTTATTTCTCAGAGAACATCTCTTAAACACCACTCCTTGTCTCAGAAATGACTCACCCTTCTGGATGCTGTAAAACAGAAACCATTAATTCCACTGCAAGAGCTCCAGCTATCATTGCCAATCCAGGTCGACTGACTGTACACTGCTGATCCAATGTCCGATCCCTGGTGGACTACAAAGATAGACAATTCTAAAAAAAAGAAAAAAGTAACTCAAAAGTAATTAGCTGCTCTACTACACAAAACATCTTTAGTTATGTGCAATTCATTTATTTGATGTTCCAAATAAAATATGAACTATTTTTTAATCATCTATACTTCAACATAAAAAGGATCCCTGACAAAATACCATTTAAAGGAAATAAGAATTCAATTCACAACGAAAGAGATGCATAATCACCACCATTTGCATAAGGTTCTACTCACATCCCCTGGTGCCACAACATCATTGCAGAAATAGCAACCCAGTTTATAGCCAGGGATATTTGAAAAGAGTGATGATCCCAACAGGTCAGAAGAACTGGAGGCATTGCTGAAACACGAATCACCAGATTCTTGCTGTTTTGGTTTCTTTAGTCCATGTCTCATAACAACAAATGTGTCAAATCCCAATGCAGCATTGATGACCAGCTATGAAGAATAAAGACAGAAGAACAAATTTGAACTGAGCTTTAAAGGGGAGGAGGGAAAAAGGCCTCGAGGTTCGCTGTAAGTGTCAAAAACAAAACAAAAAAATCTGTATACAGACAACCTCACCCCCTATCTATCATCCTAGCCACAAAAACAGCAAACCCCAAACCAGATTCTCTGATATGTGGAAAATTCCCATTGTAATGCATTTAAAAAAAATGCTAAATTGCTTCAGAAGTCCACAATTAGGGGACAATTTCAGGGCAAGGTGATGCAAATGAATGACTTCCTTTTTTCTTTGCACAAACTTATGTACGCTTGCAGACAACACTGGCACAGGAACTCCATAAATGTGTTGCTTTAGTTAACATCTGAAGGCAACTTCACAGTAACATTCAGTGCCTCACTGAAGTTACTGGAGCAGTTATGCACTGAAATGGATCAACACCCGTATATTCATATTTGGCCCAATTTTCACACAGCAATTAGTACTGTTATTGGAACATTTTATTTTGGTTCCTGCTTAGAATTGATTCTCCAGTTTCCTGCACATTCTATACGAAACATTGAAACTCTGAGTGCTACATTATTTCAAATGCCATTTAAGTACCACAGTGGCTATCAGAACAAGCTTTCATACCATCTGAGATTCTCAGTATGTATTCTTTCACTTCACTGTGCTCCAATATAACACTTTAAACACTTCTATGTGACTTCTGTTATCCCCAAAAATCCTGCTCAGAGAGGAAAGCAATTGTTACTTATGGTCTTCATATGCATCTGTTTAGTCACAAGCAGCAACGATGCACGATTGCTTTGTCATCATTTTCCCCTTCAGCTTGTGAGAAGTGCTGAGAGTAATCTGAAGTTTATATAAAGTTAAGCAGATAAAGTTTTTGTTATGACCAGAATATCACAGAACCAGTCCTTAAACTGTCCTTAAACTTAAGTTGGTTTGGGAGGAAGGACTGCAGGTAGATGCAAGATCATTAAGGCAACTGAATGATAACCCCGTGGGGAAATTGACTCTTATTTCTACCCATGTACCCCTTCATAGATAAATTTACACAGATTATCATAATGTTCTTCATTTTTCCCCACATGCCTGTTTTGAGACCTTAAGGTCAAAACTTCAGCAGTACTTTAGATTTGCAGCTGCTCTACAAATTCACATTTGAAGTAGAGCTCTCATTATATGCTTAACACAAAGTACATTGAAAAGCTGATGCCAAGCATTTCAGCTGGGAGGCCTTGAGGTTTCCGTGCTGTGCGTATCCCACCTGCATACATCACATTGATCTTATGAAAATGAAATAACAGTGATGCAGTCAGACACTAAGTCAGGCACTAAGCTAACAGCACAGAACTATTGAAGAAATTAAGAAATTTGGCCTCAAAGTACAGTACCAAAGACAACTTCGGTATATAGAGCTATTGCTTAGGATCAGAAATCTCTTTAAATTGACTTAAGATAAAGAATTAAAGAAAATACACTCTAACTTTAGTGGTTACTTGTTTGTAATGCTTAACCTGAGGAAATTGAATAACGTTTTAATTTGGCATATGAAATACCATAAGTAATGTCAATTAAGAAAGAACAAACTATATCCTTGGCTTTTGTAAAACAAAACTGAAAAGGAGAGTTCTACTTACTGTTTTCATTTGTTAAATGATTTGAAAAAAATCTTTCTTGCTTGCAAAGCAGGACCAGTGGAAATTCAGTTAAGTTCAGAAGAACAAACATGAGGAGAAAGGGGAATATACTTGAAATTACAAGATAAAACTAATTTGCAAATACCAAAAATCTGTATTCTCTCCTTTGCACTCTTCACTTTTTATGAAAACAGAATCTCAGAATCGTCTAGGCTGGAAGAGACCTCCAAGATCACCAAGTCCAACCTCTGACCTAACACTAACGAGTCCTCCACTAAACCATATCCCTAAGCTCTACATCTAAACATCTTTTAAAACCCTCCAGGGATGGTGACTCCACCACTTCCCTGGGCAGCCCGTTCCAGTGCCTCACAACCCTCTCAGTAAAGAAGTTCTTCCTAACATCCAACCTAAACCTCCCTGGTGCAACTTCAGCCCGTTCCCCCTCGTCCTGTCACCAGGCACGTGGGAGAACAGGCCAACCCCCACCTCACTACAGCCTCCTTTAATGTACTTATAAAGAGTGATAAGGTTGCCCCTGAGCCTCCTTTTTCTCCATGCTGAACAAGCCCAGCTCCTTCAGCTGCTCCTCATAGGACTTGTTCTCCAGACCCCTCACCAGCTTCATTGTCCTTCTTGGGACTCTCTCAAGCACCCCCACGTCCTTCTTGTAGCGAGGGGCCCAAAACTGAACACAGTACTCGAGGTGCGGCCTCACCAGAGCCGAGTACAGGGGGACGATCACCTCCCTAGCCCTGCTGGCCACACTGCTTCTGATACAAGCCAGGATGCTGTTGGCCTTCTTGGCCACCTGAGCACACTGCTGGTTCATGTTCAGCTGACTGTCCACCATCACTCCCAGGTCCTTCTCTGCCAGGCAGCTCTCCAACCACTCATCTCCCCGCCTGTAGCTCTGCTTGGGGTTATTGCGCCCCAGGTGCAACACACAAACAGAAGAAACCACACACAACTACTAAGGATTAGGAAACTAGAGTTGCCATAGCTGAAAAACCACTGAAGAAATTTTATATAGATATATATATATCTATCTCCAATAACATTGACGCAGCCCTGTCACATGTACTGTTTTCTTTTACTGTCTTATGTTAAGTTCGCAACTTAAATTGCTATGGACATCATTACATTTGTGCCACAAAACACACAGGAAGTGCACTGCAGTTAAGCTGACATCTTCAAAGCTTAACATGGGTATTTTCCAATTGTGCTATTTTATCTGAGCAAACATGAAACTGCACAATTCCTAAATTAAGAAATATCAGGATTAGTAGAGACTATTTTACAAAGGTCTGTGTCACAGTGGGAAAGGAAATAAGTATTCAGGATAAATTAGTTGGATTCTACAAAACACTATTTTCCCACTGTAGTAATTGAGAGAACTATGCAGTTTCCTGTGAAATTTAGAATATTCTTTCACAGGAAAAGTTTGGATGCCATGTTGTCTTCAAGAATATTCAAATAAAATTAAAGGCTCCACCATCTGTATCTGATTCAGATATCTGATTTGTAGAACATGGCAAAAGTGGCTCAAACTATTCTCCCCAAATGCTTTTGTGACTCTCCTGGAAACATTTCTGTTAAGCTTATACATAACTTCTCAATCTGCTTCATGTACACCTATCACAAAAGATGTTTTGACATTTTGACTACGTTAACGCTTATGCATATAGTGTTACCAATCTCCTATAATATTAACTATACAGAATATAAAGTTTAGGATACTCATTTTTAATATAAGAATTCAAGATCTTAATTTCATGTACTGTAGCCCTCTCATGTCATTTCTATGTCTAACATGACAATATTACTGATACATTGTTGATTGCTTTATCTATTTCTGCATTACCTGATTAATAGTCATGTACAGAGTTTAGATGCATCAGCTCAGCACAACAGCATATATCAGATAAGTTAATTAGGAAAAAAAAAACTTAACTTTTGACCAAAAGTGGAGATGTGCGTTTTCAGTTCAGAACACACTCTGTTTTTCACATTTTAGATAAATTTTGAAAATACAGTTTCAAACAAGTTGCTACAGTTCACATCCCCTTTCAGTCATTTATTATTTTAATAGATTTAGTCCTCCTTACAATGTTTCTCTTATACAAAGTCACTTCTCTTAGTCACTTTACTATGCACTATCTCCCCTTAGAGATGCTCAAAAGATGATGATTAGAGAAGACCTTGAGCAACATGCTGTAAGCTGGCCCTAAATCAAACAGGGATTTGGATCAGATCATCGCCAGAGGACCCTTTCAACCTATATGCTTCTGTCATTGAAGTACCTATTTCCTCCCTTCAACATTCTCTTTCTGTCTTATACAGAACCTTTGAGGATACAGAAAGCAAGACAACATCTTTGCACAGTCACAACAGGACTGATAAAACGTTTCAATGCCCCATATGGGTCTTTTAGGTATATACAGCCGATTGCTAACCTCCTTGTCACTATATTTCAGCTCTTGTTTATCAATGTGTGATACACTACCTTCCTCTTGCTGGCTGCAATAACAGCTGGGAGCCACCGACTCTCTCTAGTGTCCATAAGTAGGAAAACAACATCATGAGCATCAATAAGCTCTTCAAGTGTAGCCACATCCTTCCGTGCTTGTGCCATCGTTACTTCAGAAAAATTCACTGGGTGGCCAGGCATAGGGATGCTCATGTTATAGCCTTCTGAATTCTGCATGGAAATAAAAAATAAACATGTGACTTAATAGAAAAAAATAACACATTATAATAATTCTAAGTGCAATACAAATTGTAGAATATACATTTAATCACTGTTTGGCAGAATGGCAACTTTATTCTTTGTATCTCTTAGTGTATCAGTACTACAAACTAAAGCACAGTGCAAAAGTTTGAGTGAATGGTAGTCTCAGCTGCTATATTTATCCAAAAACAGAGCTGCTCAACACAAGTTTGGATAGTTTGGATCATGAGAGCAAACCAATGATGTTCAGGTGGCTCTGTGCCTGAACTAACAAGCCCAGCCTCTCAGGAGGCTAATTAGGTCTAACAAATCACTGCCAGAAGATAGCTAAACTGCTTCTAGTCCCAGAGGGAACAAACATCACAAAGAAAAGCAAGAAGATAGATCTTTCTGACAATTACCATCATATTGAAGTTATGCAAAACCTGGCTTGTCTTTGCAGCCACTTTACGCACAACGTTAACAGGATGGACACTATTAAGTTTATATTTAATATTCAATATCAATTCAGTTACACTAAGATGGATACAACATATCCATTCTCATGTTTTAAATTCATTCAGAGAAGAACAATAGTCTTGATTGATTTTCATGTAATTTCACCAGCCATACATGAACTTGATACGTAAGAAAACCACTTCTGAGACTTGTGACTCCAGGCCTTGACTGCCTGGAGGCTCGCATTGCACAGATACTCAAAGAGCTCGTTCATATTGCAGAAACATTCATCTCTTCCAACTCCGTATTTGGATAAAACATATTGAGCAGAAAATAGCTAAAGAGCCAAATAAGCATATACAATGTAAACAACTCGCTCGCTCATTTGGAAACACACTAACACAATCTGTCAGCCATCTGGTATCAGAGAACAATTGATCCTCCATTTGTGTTGCAGAAGCATAGGCCTTACCCAAGGCTATCACTGTACCTTAAGCAACTAACAATTGTAAAGCCAAAATTTAAAAGCTTGATGAACCAAACAAAATCACATGGAAAAAAATAATCACATGGACAGAGAAGAAAGGTTGGTGGAAAGCAATTTTCTATACTCCAAGTGCACGCACAAATCACAAAACCAGGTGAGCTAAACAACCAGAAGAAACAAATATACATTCTACATATCATACTCATCCCTAAACAAAAAAAAAATTATCAGCTAACCCACCAACAAATATATCAACTTGGAGAAATTCATTTGGGTAATATTTTCATCAGTGATAGCAAAAGGATGCTTTCTTTTTTTTTTCAGGTCTCCTACAGGAATAAAATGTGGAGTCCAAGGTGAACTACAATGCTCTTAACAGAGTAACTCCACTTTGTCCCCGCTACGACAGCCCAGAATCTGCACCATCAGTACAGACACTGGTCAATCACTGGTGGAGTATTTTACTTTCCATTGCCATTACCTGCTCTGAAAAGCTGTGCCAGGAGCATAGAACTTAATCCTTGCTGTACATGAATAATGTATTGATGAACAACTTACCAAGGCCCTGTAAGGCATTTGAGTGCTGGTTTAGTAGGTAATTGTTGTTCAAAAATTAAAATGAACAAGTCAAGTTGAAGACTAGCTGTGCAGAAATTTGTTAACAAGGTTTACAAAATACTAAAGTCTTACTAGAATTCACAGAAATGCTCTGTCCAGTGGCTAAAGAGATAACCGCAAACCTAGCAGCTTCAATACCTTAAACATTATTTGAATAACTGTCCCTTGGGAAAAAAAAAAAGACAGCAGTCACCAGTAGCAGTGGTTGAGGTACACTTCTGCAGTCAAGCACTGGAAAAATAGCTATAAAATTGTTTGAGTCACACTGGAAGGCGATCAAATATGACCTGTCCATGGTATGAGGAAACAAAGAACACACAGTATTTATCAAATAACTGCTTTGTACCAGTACTGAAATTCTTAAATAATGACAATAATAGGAATAATACAAATAAAAACAGAACAACATAGAACAATCAAATCAAAATGAGCATAAAAGTGTTTGGAAAGGAGCTTGTAAAGCTTGTTAACAATGCTGATCATCAACAACATAACTGATCTATATTTCACTGTTCATTGATCAAATATTTTGACTACTAACAGAAGCATTTTAAATACAGAATTGTACAGTGTCAGTACATAACTCCTTTAGTTGTTAAACTCAGTGGTTAAGATATTGCTTGTCAGTTGAGCTCTGGTAAATATAGCTACCAACTCTAAGACAGTCCCAATTCCAAAGTAAAAAATACGAACATCTCAATGGAGACTTCTATCACGTGCCTGGTGAGTATAAAGAAACTTTGTTAAAGATAGAGCAATCTGAGAGTGTGTCTATTCTGAAATTATAGGCAATATCAATTCCTACCCCAAAAGAAGGGTACAGATATAGAAGAAACCTGTATATATATTTAAATCTAATTTTTAGTGCTGAAAAAAGTAGGAGTGTTTAAACCCGTGCACTGAATAATGTTCATATAATGCATGCTCCTGCTGTCAAAAAGGATAAAGACTGGCATTGGTGGGTCTTTTATCATACACTTCCAAAATAACAAAAAAATAATTCTTATATTTTGTTCCCTTTCGACTACTTCATTTTGATAGTAAGTTATTACCTCCAGGTTCCTCAAAGGAGGAAGTACTTTGGCCAAAAGTATTGCTAACTTCCCCAGGCTGTTAAAAACTACTACCCTAAGTTTCACAGGACATAATAGACATGGAAAAGAATTACTTAACCATCCATGAGCCACAAGATGATTCAGATGATCCTTTGTTATATTTCATCATTAGAAATATTTACTGTCTCAATACATATTATTTCAAGGACTTGCCATCCATTAAAACGCTTATAAATTTATCAATAAGTGATGTATTTTGCATTCCTCCTCCATCCTCATGTGCTGACAATAATTCTTAAATAATACTAGAACTTGGTAGAGTTATTTAAAGTCATCAGTACTCTCTTAAGGGTTTTATTATGAGATTTTTAAATTCTTACCACCCCCGGGAAGATTTTCTGTAGCCTGTCTGCTGCTGCAAGTGCCTTCGGCTTCCCACCGCTAAGACAGTCCTCAAATTCGTACAGTGGCTGTCGCACAGGATTGGAGTAGGAGATCTTCGCGTTGTCAACAAATGTTATCTTCCTCACTCCCCAACCCTAAACAAGAAAGTAATTTGTATATAATGGGCTTAGCCATATAATTTTGTCTCTCCAATGGCAAAAAAATAAGAAGAGCTTTATTCAGTTTTCCTACAAGATCAAGCTACAGAAGCTTTTGAAGCCATTCACAGCAACAACCTTTTACTTACTCTGAACTTAGAGAAGAGGTAAATTGGTTTGTCTATATTTAGCAGTAATCAGTCAAAAGCTACAGAATTCAGGGGGATGTGGTAAACATCCTTGAAAGCAAATAACAGCACAGCTACTTATTTCACATGCTTCACTGTGAATTTGATTTTGTTTACTATTTGTTTCCAGAATTTTTCAATCTTATGTAAATTCAATACAAGTTATTATTCTGTTAAGGTTCTCTTACTAGCTACTATTTGCAGAATTTCAAGTCACTTCCATACACCACAGATCTTACCTCTTCCCTGCAACTTATAATATAAATGTGTACATTAATACAGAGGAATGAATTTTTTCCCTGTGTGCCATGGCCACTGCTCAAAAAAAATCATACAGAAATCTAGAGAAAGAGCAGATTTTTATGATTAATTCAAGACTTACCATCAAGGTCCTTGCAACACTACAACCTAGAGTACCAGCTCCTAGCAGCAGACACTTGGCAGACACAATTTTTTCCAAATCAAGCGTAGGGACCAACCGCCAGCACATCAATTTCAAATTAAGATCCACCGATGATTCTGCTAACCTATGACAGAAAAAAAAATAGCAACAATGCTTCTGAATGTATTCTTGTGCTTTTTTTTTTTTCCAACAGAGCAATTAATTATTTCACCTGAGGAAGTTTTGTTGTCGCTGTTTTTAAAAAGGAGAGAAAACAATGTGACAGACCATTATGCTTTCCCTCCTTAAGGCACATGCCAGTAGTTCTAACACCCTTCCCTTCCTCTGTATTTGATCTCCACTGCCTTTTGGCTTTCCTTTGTTTTTACTGTTGATAGCAATGAACCCATGTTTTTTCTGGTCTCCAAAGTTATTAAATCTTTTTGCCTTATTCTTCTTTCCAACTCACTAGGTCTGAGATCTATTGTTCTACTACCTTTCTGCTATATGATGGTATTCAAGTGCAAGAACCTACTACTTATGGACACGGATTCTGAAGACATGAATGGGCCAAAAGAAGAGGAGGGCCTTAGTTCCCTGATAAGAAATAGAAGTGATTAGGTTGACATATTTAAATTGGGCTTTTCCTTTCACCAACAAATCTACATTAAAAAAAACCTGCTAAATATATACAAATGGATACCTATACCTATTTCTCCAAAGCTGCAACTGCACTGCTTAAAATAGCATAGGAAATCACTACTGAAAGAAGTTTCTAAGGGCTTCTGAAAAAAAATAAATAAAATTTTAGTAGCAAAATTGATGCAAGCATGAAAATAAAGTGTCTCAGTCAAGATTCCTTTCCAGTTAAGCTGAATGGTAAGACAGACCATTTGTCCATACATTTGTTTCCTTTTTATTTATTTTAAATAACACCAATTATTATACTTGCTCTCTCAAGAAAGTAAGTTCTTTGTGGACATTCTGAAGGAAAATGAGGTAAGGAATCCAGGTTCAACTTAATGTCATTTTTTACATATTCATCAAAATAGGAAGTCTTAAAGCACTCATCAAATAAGTTTATTACAAGCCATCCATAGAGCATGGTAAAATATCTGAAGAAAAAAAAAATCTATCCAGAGCATGACTATCTCATTCACTTTCCTGATTCCTCCTCACAAAGGGGAGTATTGCTTCACGCAGAACAGTAATGCTTGTCCCTCTCATACAATCTCTAAAACTTCTTTGGCCTCTCTTGTCTTCAAATCAGATAGGCATGTATGTTCTCAGATTCCTGACAGTTTCATTCCTTTATACAGTGAAAATTATGCTCATGATGTATCTAGCACGTTATTTGTTGAACAATTGTTCAAAATCACAACTGACAAGGCTGTCAGATTACTAACATTCTGTGAGAATTAAACGTCGGTTTGTAGAAGTAAAGAAGGTGAAATTGCATTTACTTAATTGATTAAAAGCCCTCATATGAGCCTTCCCTAATGTCTACCCTAAATTGACATAATTGCAAGACAAAAACTGCTTAGCTTGTTAGGTAAAATAGGTTAACCTATTAGGTCAACATGCCCTGACAATCTCAAAGTCAGGCATTCACATGTAGTCAGTGAAAGCAGAGGAGCCAAAAGGTTGTAGAACTACACTGTTTTCAATCCCCTACCATATATCATGTGCAAAATGACAAAAATTACTAAGGTCACGTTTCCTGTCACATCCTAACAATTTCAAGAGGCTGAACTGTTCTCCATATTTATTTTCATTATATCTAACAACCTGCAGGTTACAGAATTCAGTAAAAAACACAGGTCTATAACATTATGACCCATGTTCCACTAAGTTTTACATAATGCTTTTGAAATTTTAAGCTAGTGTCACAAACTGTAAACACTTCTGCTGGATGCCGTGCACTCTTCTCTAATAAGATCTGTACCTCCACCAGGACCATCCAGAGATTGAGTGATACATATACATGGAATATTCTTTGGAAAACTATTTGGTAATATATGTCTTACTGTATATTCTGAACTAACAGACAGATAGTCCTCACATTTCAAGTTGGTATGGCTTAAGCCCAACAGGAGGAAACTACAGAAATCTAGAAGATGATAAACAAACCTTTTTGGATCCATACACTCACTAAGATTGACCATCCTTGGGCCCATGCCTCCCTTTTGGTTTTTCTCCCATCCAACAGCTTTTGGGCAATCTGTTTATCAAAGATGGAAGGAAAGAAGGAAAGAGAATTAAAGCCTTAGTATCACAGGATAGAAAAAAGTTTTGTTAGATTTAAAATTCTTAGAAAAAAATAAACCTGTAAACAAATAATCCGCATCTTAGTGTGCGTGGCTATACAAGTGTTGCTGGCTCATATCTAATGAAACTATGGCTTCTTGGAGAAACACTTCCCTATAAGGTGCCTGGTGTGCTGTTTTTTGCCCGTTTAGCTTGCTTCAAACCTAAGATGGAGACAGCATCATTCCTCATCAAGCTCATGATCCTGAGCATTAAACAGACTGCCACGTTCAACATTCAGTAAATTCAGAATTAACTACAATAAGTTTTGCCAAGTTAAATCATATTCCTCACCATATTCCTGAGACTTCATTTGTAAGTTCAGTAGAGAATTACATATCCTAATTATACAGTAATTAAATTACAACTATCATATATAAAGCATTTAGAACTTCTTAGATTAGATGAGGTAGAAAAAAAAAATCATGCTGTCCTGTACGTAGAAATTAACTCTGAGTTTATGCTCTAACGTTACAAGCCTATTGCATGTGAGACTGAAGAAACAATTCCACTCTGTAGCAGGGTTTTACTTCTTCATGAATATACAGAAAATTTATACCACAGAAATTCACCATCATATGCATTTACCAAGGACCGTGTACAAATTTAAAGAAAAGACTGCTTTTTAATTGCTATATATAGCATGAAATACCGTAAGTTACCATCTAATTTCTGTATTTCTTATGATACCAGCAGGACTTTTTCCTCAAATGTTCTCTTTAAATCTTGTTACTAATTCAAAAAAGAGCTTTTTTTTTTTTAAAATGAGAAACCATTTCATTACAGATATTGAATCTAACCAAGATTCAAGTGATTTTAAATTCACTCAAAATAAGTCAGTTTAGGCAATGATTCTGCAGTAATATTTTTTTCCTTGTTCACAGTGATAAAGGATAGAGAAAAAAAGGGAAAGGTTTGGTTTTTTAAACTAGTTACCTTGACCAAAAGCTCTCTGTGGAAGTTTTATTTCAAAGATGATGCTGTGTGTTATGTCTCTCACGCCTTGCATGGTTCTGTCTCTGAAGCAGAGCACTTCGATTGTCTGAAGGACACTCCCCCTGACAATTAAAAAAACTCACATTCAACTTTAGTAGGAAAGGAATTTTCTTTTAACATTACTTCACAAAGCTTCAGTCTCTTGCAGATTCTACTTTTTTTTTTTGTTGTTGTTCGTACTGTAACACTATTGTTCTTATTAACTATAAAAAAAAACACATTTGCTTAGTATGTGAAAATGACTGCTTTGTTGTGAAACACTTCCGATGAAATGACACTGGCAGCCTGTCCTCTGTTGTTTATATAATGCTGCTGGACAAACAGCACATTTAGAAGAATGAAAAGCAGAAAAGTATCAGACCATGTATCAGGTGAAATGATGTACACCTGTACTTCCCCATGGCACAACCAAAACTGGATAGTTCTTCATGTAATATCATTTTTCCTTCTTATAATTCAGCTCCAAATGAAAGACTTAGAGCTTTCATGCCTAAAAACCTCTGAATCCTAGAATGTGTAAATTAGAATGCATAAAGCACTCCAGGTACTTGCACATCCTTCAGCCCAGAAAATGCTGTGCCTAATTGACGATCTCTTCTTCCTAATGTGCTTTCTGTAATAAAATGTAAAGGCCAGAACTATGAAAATACAACTTAATTATGTTCTTGTTACATTAACCCAATTTTAGTTAAATACTTTTATGCTATGGTATTTGAAAAGAGTATCTCCAACTATTACCCAACAAAAAAAAATCAAGATGGTAATTCTAGGTTTTCTTGTAATGTATCTGATACTCAAACTTTAGGGCTACTATCAGTTGGCATTAATTATATCACAGAATACTTTTTAAAATATTTAAAACACCTAGAGCCCAAAAGGAGGGTATTGACATGGTCTGAAGTGTGCACACGTGAGGATAAGGAATAATAGGAACTTGTAACAGATAGAAGTAAAAAAAAAGGAGTTAATACATGAAAACAGAACCACTAAAGGTGAGTCATCTCAACGTCAGGATATTTCAAGGAATGAAGTTAAGCCTCAGACCCATGATGCAAAAAATGTCATGGAGAAAAAAATGCCTGATTTGACTCTAATCAAATAAATAATCTCTGGGAAATAATAAAACAGATACCATTTATGAGCTGCCAGGATCAGGAAATTTCTCAGTGGCCATCCTGGATAGTGGGATAAATTACATGGGTCATAAACTCCAACTGTCACCTGCAAAAAAAATTGCTCTAAATGAAAACTTATCTGTGCATGCTAATACTTCATTCATGATAAAAGTTACCTGCCATTTTTCATGTAAGACGTTTGGACAGAAAATGACTACATGCATTTTACATACTTAGAAGTGTTTACTGCATGGTCACGCTAGATTTAAGTCAAACGTTTGCCAGAGCTTTGAGAGTTGTTCATTTTAGCTTCTTTACAGACACTCATATTTCACTACAGTATGTCTACCTTCCTTTCATTCATTAAACATGGCATTAGTAAGTTGTTCCAGTTTCATAAACTAGCAGGAAGTTAATTCAGCAACAGAAAAAAAGTTTTTCTTCCAGGGGAGCAAGCTCAACTGGCTCCCTGAACACTGCCAGGCTCCAGAGTCAGTATCAATGTATCAATGATTCAATAAATCTTATCTGATAGTTCTAAAATTTTGGCATATCCCTCCAAAAAAAGGCATTAACAAAGAAATACATTCCAGATATTTACAGGTTTATTTTGTATATCCCTATCTAATTAAGTATTCTCTTATTACTGTTACCACATCCAACAAAACCTTAAAATATATGAATACTACATTTATTAGACAAACAATAAAAAGTGTTCTACATTATAATAGCATTGTAGTTAGTGATTGGAAAACTTTAATCATTATGATAATACTTTCAAAAATTTATGTTGTTCCTGTTTTGATAACAAGGGAGACAGTAAAAAGACCATGAAGAACCCAGATTTCAAATCATTAATCTAATGTAACTTGGCTTATAGGTAAGAACTTAGACACTTAACTCTTGACACAGAAATCAAGCCAAGCTGGTGGTCTTCAGCTATTCACCGTATCCATTCATTGGCCAACCACGCTGCCCAGTTCAGCATTACAGACAATCTCCAAATTATTTGTAAATTAAACATGTGCAGGTTATTAGAAGATGCACAATTCTCATTACCTTCCCTTCTTGGTCTTGAAAGAAACTATCCCACTTTTTGATCAAAGATATCACCACAGAATTGTCATGATACTTGATTAAAAAATAAGGCAAGGCTGTAACCCCTTCTGTCTGGCAAAGGTCATCATACGCTTTCTGAAGTGCTTGAATCTAAAAGCAAAAAGATAACTGAAACCAACAGTTGTAATGCTCTTATACAGAAACATTGAAATTGTTTTAGCATTTGGAAATAAAGCGCGTTCAGAAATTGTAAAGTTTATTATTACCACAGTAACTGAAATCAAAAATTCAGTTGCTAAAATTGTAATTGTCAATGCAAATTTGAAACGAGCACCACAACCACTGCTGCAAACTGCTCTACCAACAAAAGTTTAAAAAAAGAAAATTTCATTTTGGTAGTCACAACAACTTGATAAATAAATCTATTCCCCTCTATTACTAGCATGGAAACAGTGTCTTATTTGTTTCCAAACTACAAAAATATTCAGTACAGGATTAAGTACTGGTAAACACTGATCACCATACTACACCATAGACGCTTAATCATTCAATCCATTTTGTCATCTATTTCCAGTGTTCAGTCAAAATTCTTCCATCTTTGGACAATTACAGAGATATTTTCAGTGTTTATTTCTGTAAGAGTAGTAAGGGTCGTGTGAGAATAAGAGAAGTGTTCTCCACTGAAAAAAAAACACAAAACTTTCTCATGGATTAGGACATCAAAAGCCATTCAAGGTTTCACATTAACTTCTGTAAGAGAAGAAAGCACATCTGGGAAAGTTGTTTTTTTGTTCTTTTACACTGAAATATGAATCAAACTATGAAAAATTAACTTTTCTACTAAAATACTCACTACCCATTTTTTCTTATGCATAAGAAAAATGCATAAAATATTACTCACTATCATATCATATTATTATGCATAAAATATTACTCACTACCCATTCTTATTATTTTCTTGCTAAGAATTTTGTAATTGCTAATCACTAAGCACACACTGAGTATGTGCCTTTTAAAACATATATTTAAGTAGTCGTAAGTTTCAAGAACATGGCTATATATTCAATAAGATGAATAGGAAAAATTAAGAAACTCCAAGAATTGTCTGCCACATCTGCATTTAACTTAATAAAGCTGAAACAATGTTAAAGTGACAGATATTATACAATAAAAAGAGGTAAACAACAAAAAAAACAAGTAGAAATAAGGAGAGATTTTAAAAGAAATTAGGTTTTCAAATTAACTCAGTACATGCTAAAAAAAAAACAAAAAACAAAAAACAACTGCATTTTACAGCCCATAAAACCCCTTCATGCTTTATGCGGAGTTCATAACATTTGGTATTAAGTATACCTGATTTAAAGAGAACCTGTCACCAAGACACACTGGTTTCTGAATTATATGTATTCCATCAGGAAAGCAGAGAGCAGGGTAGCAAAACCAGTAATAGAAGTGGTACTTTTTCAAATCCTAGATAAAGAAAAATAAGATTAGATAACAGATATAAAAATTGAAATAAATTATTGTTTGAAATACTGATCATTACTGACAGTTGATGATACTAACCATAGTTCTTACTTGAAAATGCACTGTCATGATTTAAAAAAAATAATGAAAAAAATACTAGAAGACTTCCTTTCTCCATATACATTTTTATTTAGGATTTAAACAGACAATGCGTGTACAATACTTTCGTTCTTGTTAGAGCACTATGCATTAGAAGTTTAAATTTGTTGAACATGAAAGTTGTTTTACTAAAATCTGTAAGGCAGTCATTCTCATACATTTGAAGAAAACAAGCTGAGATGGCATCAGCATTTTTTAAAGAATACATTCTAAATTTTTTTTATATCTGTACATGTGAATGACTTATTAGAGATTTTGTTTGTTTGTTTGTTTTTTAAAGTGTTCTGGGATATATTAAATGTCTGAGAATGACCCTAATAACACTAACATAGCAATAATAATCCACTATTTCTCCTACAAAGAAACTACTACTTTTCCATTTCGATGCCGTAAGTATGTAAGACATTATCATTACTCACTGCAAACGTCAACAGCAGGAACCTGTTCAAGAGCATAGGATTTTCGAGCGCAGCTCCAGATTTTATCGATTGCCATATCTGTCATTGATAGTGGAGCCAAGAAAGAAGAGAAAGGACAGAAAATGCAAAGACAATATGAGAACAACTGAACAAAGACAATACGAGAACAACTGAAATGTTCCCATCATCCAGCTGCAGAAGAAATACTGAAATTAATACTCCCAGTAATCCCCTGGGATTTTTTCTAATAATCTCATCCACACTATTATCCACACTAGAAGGACTCTAAAGGTACCATAGGCATGTACTATCTAACACAAACTACAAATGCTAGGGACCAAGTGGAGAACTAAATCGAACAAAATAAACCTCACCAGGAAAAGCCTGTCATGTATGTGAGCTATTAGCACTGCCATAATACAGAACATACTGTGATGCTAATATAGCCCTTTATTATTCTCACTGTTTCATTCACAGGATCTGCAGATACCAGATTTGTGAATAACCTAGTATGAGATTTAACTAAAAAACAGAGACAAAGAGGAATGCAATGCACGGCATGTTGGTGAGACATGAAGCTATAACATATGCGAGGAAGAGCTGTTTGATCTTTGCCTTTGAAATAATTAAAAAATCTGCAAGAGTGAATTAAGCTTTCTGACCTTCCTAGTTTCTCTGAGGATAATTAAAGTTACCACATTGTATCTGCCACTGACAGGGAAGTACTCCACCACAGGAATACAAGCCTGGAGTGAAGATATACAGGAAAACTTTGCTACTCGAAGCCAGCAGGCATCCAATAAATCTATTTAACGAAATCAAAAGACTAGTCAAAGTACAGTGTCTCCAAAATTAAAAGGCTGTCTTTGTCTGATTTTCTCTTGTCCCTAAGCCATGACATTTAATATAGTTGGTTACAGTGCAAGCAGATAAGCCCTTCCTTTTACAGACAACTTTTTCTCGCTTTATCTCAATCTTCTGGCTGTTTCCCATCACTTTATCACACAGATGGACTAAAGCAACCTACAGTTTAAACCAGACACTTGCTGGTTTCTGGTGTCAAAACAAATTATAAAAGGTACTCTGGCACCTCTGGTAGCACCACTAAATTTAAATTGTGGCTTAGAACACCAAATGAAGTTCTCCAAGTGTAATTTGCTATTCTCTTGCAATGAACAGTAAAGGAAAAAAAAACAAGCATCAAACTACTGTCTCTGTAATAATTTAAATCCTAAGGCTACTATATGGGTGAGTATGGACAGTATATTCAATATTCAGGCCAGAAACTAAAACACTTCACTGTTGACTTTCAACGCTATTTCTCTACCAATTGATTTGATTTTTAACCTTACCTCATTTGCTTCTTTCTCCAGAAGTGATTTCTTATCACAAGACTTGAAAGTCTCAAAAGTGTTGGTATTATACAATGTTCCAAAAGCAGGACAGCAACGTGCTGGTATTGAAGCATTCCTGAATAAAAGAAAGAAAACTCTGGGAATTGTATACTAAGGTCTTTAACACAGCAGAAGCAGCAGTTGTTATCCTACATTGCGGGGTTGTCCAAAAACTGAAAAATGATGAGGCACAGTAATAAGAGCTAACAAAAGCTTTATTAAAAACATTTTTATGATCACAATGCTTTATTGAATATGGATTGATATGGATTTACGCTTCACTGGGTTAGAAACTGGCCAGATAGCCAGGCCCAAAGAGTTGTGGTGAATGGAGTCAAATCCAGCTGGAGTCTGGTCACTAGTGGAGTCCCCCAGGGCTCAGTACTGGGGCCGGTCCTCTTTAATATCTTTATCAATGACCTGGATGAGGGCATCGAGTGCACCCTCAGTAAGTTTGCAGATGACACCAAGTTAGGTGCGTGTCATCTGCAAACCTACTGAGCAGATCGTGTGTCGATCTGCTCGAGGGTAGGAAGGCTCTGCAGGAGGATCTGGATAGGCTGCACCGATGGGCTGAGGTCAACTGCATGAAGTTCAACAAGGCCAAGTGCCGGGTCCTGCACCTGGGGTGCAACAACCCCAAGCAGAGCTACAGGCGGGGAGATGAGTGGTTGGAGAGCTGCCAGGCAGAGAAGGACCTGGGAGTGATGGTGGACAGTCAGCTGAATATGAGCCAGCAGTGTGCTCAGGTGGCCAAGAAGGCCAACAGCATCCTGGCTTGTATCAGAAGCAGTGTGGCCAGCAGGGCTAGGGAAGTGATTGTCCCCTTGTACTCGGCTCTGGTGAGGCCGCACCTCGAGTACTGTGTTCAGTTTTGGGCCCCTTGCTACAAGAAGGACATCGAGGGGCTTGAGCAAGTCCAGAGAAGGGCGACGAAGCTGGTGAGGGCCTGGAGAACAAGTCCTATGAAGAGCGGCTGAGGGAGCTGTTCAGCCTGGAGAAAAAGAGGCTCAGAGAGTCATGAGAGACTTCCCCTCTCATCTCACTTTTGCTGCATACACTGGACAATTTTATTCTAGCTTCCACTTTGGGAGTAAAAGCAAAAAAAAAAAAAAAACCACAAAATTCCAGTCAGAAAGTTAAATACTTTCAAAGATAACACAATGTAACAACCAGGGATTGTAAAAACTATTTTGAGATCTTAATTCTAACAACGAACATTCAAGTAAATAAAGATCCACGGAAAAAATTAATCAGATGACTGAAATATCCTTCTTTACACAGAAGAGCCTGTGAAAATGGGGGAAAAAAGGGTATTATATAAACACACATAAACAGTGAGTGAAATTGAGACTTGCCAGCATATTTGAAAACTGGCCCTTCAGATGAATACACTACTTCAAAACCAGGGCATTAGTGTTTGAGACTCATAGCAGGATCTCCACTGTTATAAGGTTCAAGAAAAACATGTTTATTTTAATGTATAATTGGCCCAAGTGACATTCTATGTCAAAGCATTACTGTTATACAAGAAAGCGTCTCCATATCTGAATTAAGGTAAGCCCCCATACACACTTACATATCAAAGGCACTGAATTCCAACGTCAGGCGAGCTGGCAAGCCCAAAGGATCACCTAGACAAAAAGCAGCAACATGCATCTTTTAAATAAAATACATGTATTTACAAAAAGAGTGAATAATCAAAGTTATCAATTACCCACAGACACACCAGAACTCACAGCTCATCCAGCGCTGTTTTCTAGTTCTAGCAATGTGTCAGCAAAATACCTAAAATGTGTTACACAGCTACTTAGAGGAACGACAGGAGAAACCCAAGCTTCTAAGCACAATGTTCTGTTTCTGCATACCATTGTAGTAATATCCTTTGATAACTTTTGGAGTCTCATCCAGTCGGTACTCATTGAGTTTCTTCTGGGTTAGTTCATGCCAGAATCCTGCATCCAAGGCACTACTGAAGGGAGCAAACTGCAGCTTTGAAATGCCAGGATCTACAGGATGGTGTGCCTCATTACTGGCAGTTGCCATGGTTGTAGTTCACTGTTAAACAAAGAAACAAGTTTTTATAAAAGCAGACTGGCAGTATAAGCGTATACTCAACTGACCACATTACTCTTGACTACTTAAAGTTTCTCTTTAATACATTGCGTTTCATTAAAGTATAGAAAGCCTTACTCCTCTGAACATCTAAGCTCTACTTTTCAAGCCATTCATGAGAGGTCTCTACAGTCAAAACAAAGTCTTTCCAATTTCTTGTACGTAAAGTTACACAAGTTTATGTTCTGTTTGGCCAAGCTACCCAGCAGGACCTGACTTTCTGACACTCATTCCATGATTTCTCCTATTACATGGGATACTGCACGTGAATCACGTACTTCTGATTTATAACTTGTACAGTGCTGCTGCTGCAGATAAAAATAGTAAAACGCTACACCCCATATCCGCTATCTATATAACAGAAAGAACTCAGTCTAAACACCTCTCAGTACCACTTAAGTTCTGATGGCATTTAAAATCTAAACCAACATTACATACATTTCATTTAACTGGGTCTTCTCTTCACCTCTCAGCCTGTGATGAGTTAAATAGCTTACAGATTAGCAGTAAAACTAGCAGAGGAAAACAAACCAAGAGAAGTCTTACAGCCAGTGAAGGGCAAAGCTGGAAACAGAACCTAAAACTTCCTTAATAGTTTCACTTGCCATTTGAATGTCATTGTGATATACAAATCTAGATTTTCTTACACATTTTTCCTTCTATAGACTTTGTGTAAGTAGAACTTTTTTTTTTAATTAAAAAATCAGCAGAAATCGCTATTCCATATCAGTATTCCTATAAGCCGAGTCTTCAATTCACAACAGTTGTCTGAATTAAAGACTCCACACCAGAATGAGGAATATATTAGCTAAACCGGGCAATTGCGTGCCTCTACTTCAACCACACATAATGGTCCCCTTGCTCACATTAGCACCAGCATCCACTTTGCCATGAGGTGTTTCAGCCGTCCCCCCCCCCAACTCATCAAATAAAAATGTTGACATTCTCTGCTTGAGAAGCTCCTAGTTACTGTCAGTATTCCTCCTGATGCCTACGCAGATTAAGATGCAAGTTTCAGAGACAGTCCTTGACATGCGGAGGAACAGCACAAAGTATTCAAATGCACACCTGAGGAAGGGAAGGTTTGCCTGTTATGAGTTGCATTGCTTTAGACTAACTCAGTAATTTAAGCAAAAATGTTGCAGAACAAGGACTTGCTAGATATTAAAAATAAGATCCAATACATCCTTTTACCAAGCTAGTAACTGCTGCTTTCTAAGTGCAGAAAGGAAATCAACTGCTACCTTTTTTGGTTTTATTCACGATGCCTATCAAATCAATGATTTGAACTCTGGAGTAATAATTTGGAAATTAATCCTTCAATTACCACATTGACTAAAATTTTAGTTTGCACAACATAATCTCATGTGATTGCTTTTGTTACTGGCCCTTCACAAAAGCCCTGCTACCTTTACACATACATCAATGGTAGGATTCTAGATACAAAAAAATCGGGATAGGGCTCCTGTGCTGTAGCATAGCTTGGATTAAATTGAACAGTTCCAAGATTACTGTTCCGTGAGGTCTCTTGTGCAACAGGATGAGCTTTCACAATTCTCTTTCCTTCGTTTTGGAACAGGGGTAAGGGAATGAAAGGTGCATTTAATTTCTTAGTGACTGTCACATTGCCAACCTCTTCCCTGAAAGAAATTCTCAGATGTGCTAAAATTGTTCCAAGAAAGTCAAAGTTATGTACTTCCTTTTACAGTATTTTCTTTAAAAAAGTCTTTGAGGTAATCCATGCTGTTCATTCTCTGCTAAAATTGTACAGATTTTAAAAGCCTTCTCCTACCGTAAAGGCTTTTCTTCCTTGCTGGTAAATTATGTATTTTTCTGGCATAGGTTTGATGACTTCCACTTTTTTCCATCGAGATAACAATATATTTCAGTTCTGTCATTATGTCTACTTCAACCAGGATATTACAAACATGCCATTTCCTTTCACTTCATTTTTTTCCTATTTTCTTAACAGCTGGAATTTGTGGTATCATGAACTGTTGAAGGCTTACTTATAAAAAAAAACCTCTCATGCCACTTTTATTAGCATGAAGAAAATGAGTTTCTTGAAAATTTCCATGTACAAGGACTGTAAGAAGTAGAATTGACTGTATGGAATTTTCTGACCATTTTCATAAACCTTTTTTTTCCTGTACATAAGATGTAAGAGTCACATCAATTCATGTATTGGTAACCAGTTCATTTAACTTCTACAAATGCTTTACAGATTTTTTTTTTTGACTAAATGCCAAAGAAAGCTCATCATAAAACAGGCAATTGTGTGTCGTGTAGACATTAGCAATACCTGAGTCATGTTACATTGCACATCGTGCCAAGATTTCTATAATAACACTTTTAATCAGAGGTTCAATAGCTGCCTAGTCAACATTAATCCATTAAAGCCTCTCGTCCTCTCTTTGTTTTCTGAAGCAAGTTTGGAGAGCTATCGCTTACTACTTTTTTTTAACTAATAACAAAGAAAGCAACGTAAAGTCATTACTTTCCTTGCCAGACAACCTCTGTTATAAGTAGAAGTTTACTCGTTCTCAGTTTCCTTTACGTTAAACTTTTTACCAGCAGGAAAACAACCTGCTAGGCAATAAAAGCATCTCCTATACCCAGGACCATTAACCCTGATGTAAGTGCTGCTCTTGCTCAGCCTTTGGAACAGGCAAAGTTTTTACTTTAGCTTTTTCTATTATTAAGTCCACGACATACGCAACAACTGAAGCGTGTTGCCAAACACTTCACACGACCAAGGAGCCAGACAACAAGCCCTGGCAGCAGCGGAGCACCATGCACTGAAAATAGCCACCTACAAGCACCTGCTGGGATCATCAACTTCCTGCTTATTGCCATTATTCCTGTATCGAAATCATGGCTATTATGGAAGTGGAAGCACAAACCCAGGGGACCTCACTGGGCTGCACAGGCGATCCCTGCTGATGCACTGACGCCTCAGGTTTGGGGCTTAACCCCCTTACAACATGCACGGAGTTACGGGGTTACACCCAGCGGGTATACGCAGCCCCCTAACACCCACACGCCCTCCCCGCAGCGCAGCCCCGGCGCTCACGAGGACCCCGCTGCCTCGGGAGGGGCCGGGAGCCCCCCGCTGCCCCCCGGGGCACGGCCCCGCCGCCGCCTCTCGCCCCCGCCGGGCCCGGGGGGCCGGGGCTGAGGGGCCGCGACCGCAGCCCCGGCTCCCGCCCCTCAGCGCCCGCTCACCGCTGCCCCGCGCCGCACTTCCGGCATTGCCGCCGGCCCGGCCGAGTGACGCCGTCCTGCCGCGGCCACGTGACCGGGGGGGGGGCTCCCCGTCAGCCAGGCGGGGCTTGCGCAGGGGCGGGCGGGCGGTGCTGAGGGAGGAGGGGGTGCGTTGCTGCTCTGTGGGGAGCGAGGGAGCCGCGCGGTGGTGGGGGTGGTCGTGGTCGTGGAGAAGCATTCGGGGGTCTTAGGGCGCTGCAGTCGCAGCTGATGTTCTGGAAGCGATCCGTGAAACGTGTGGTGCTGGAGCACCGGGGGATGGCGAAGGTTTGTGTCAGCAAACGCCCCCAGCCCGGGTGTGTGCGGAGCCCCTGCCATGGAGCCCCTGCCTCCAGCACGGTGCTGGGGAAGCGACCTGAGGGGCGCAGGGGGACCGCCACCTGGGTTAAATCTCCGCAGCGAGGCACAGAAAATGCTCAACGCGATGTGAAACAGCCCACAGCTGCTCTCGGGGGCTCTCCACTCAGGCTGGTACCAGGGCAGGTGATGTTAATTAACAACTAATTAATAATCACCATCACCCACCCGTGTGAGGAAACCCAGCTCAGGCCCAGAGATGACACCAAACTGGTATGCTGCAGGGCTGGGCTGCCGAGAGGGTCAGAGGGCTGCGGTGTATGGCATGAGAGGCTAGGAGAGCTGGGTTTGCCTCGTGTGGAGACAAGGCTAAAGGGTTGTGTGAGCTCAGGTCTCACATAACCCAAAGGGGCGTTCCAAAGAAGATGGGGCAAATCCTTCCCAGAGGCACACACAGTAAAGATGGAAGGAAATAGTCACATCCTGCAACAAAGACAATTCTAAATACGGACTGAACATGGTTTGGAGATGGTAACTTTCCAGGCCTATGTAGTTCAGATTAGATTCTATTATGTGGTTTAATAAAAATAATACATCTTTGGGTTTATGTAGTGCTTTTATGTAGTTTAGATCATTTAACGATCTAAATGATTTTTATGCAGCATTCTCAGCAAATGAGATCACAAAGTACAGGCACACCAGCAAAATTATTTCCTCAATTTATTGAAAAAAAAAATACTGTCAAAAGTCACCTAGTCCTACGCTGTACGCCTCTCACTGCTGCAGAGGTTGCATACTTAGAAAAATCTGTTTTAGCAAAGAATACAAGAAACAGTAGTGGTAGCAATATGCTGACAAAGGTATTGACTTGCCATGTTGGTAGATGCCTGTGAGCACCATCAGTAATTTCTCTGGCGCAGGCTGCTGACTCTGCTATGAGCACTCTGCTGTGAGACAGAGCAGCATTTGTTACTCCTCAAGGGACTGAGTTGAGGGGTTATCCATGTCTAGTGAGGAGAAAATTAGGTTGCCATGTAGGAGACCTGAGCTCTTTTCCCAGGTCTGACTGTGCTGCTTTTGAAGACAGCATTATGCCTGATCAAAACAAATAATATCTTCATCAATGATCTGGACGAGGGCATTGAGTGCACCCTCAGTAAGTTTGCAGATGACACCAAGTTAGGTGCGTGTGTCGATCTGCTCGAGGGTAGGAAGGCTCTGCAGGAGGATCTGGATAGGCTGCACCGATGGGCTGAGGTCAACTGCATGAAGTTCAACAAGGCCAAGTGCCGGGTCCTGCACCTGGGGTGCAACAACCCCAAGCAGAGCTACAGGCTGGGAGATGAGTGGTTGGAGAGCTGCCAGGCAGAGAAGGACCTGGGAGTGATGGTGGACAGTCAGCTGAATATGAGCCAGCAGTGTGCTCAGGTGGCCAAGAAGGCCAACGGCATCCTGGCTTGTATCAGAAGCAGTGTGGCCAGCAGGGCTAGGGAGGTGATCGTCCCCCTGTACTCGGCTCTGGTGAGGCCGCACCTCGAGTACTGTGTTCAGTTTTGGGCCCCTCGCTACAAGAAGGACATCGAGGTGCTTGAGCGGGTCTGAAGGAGCTGGGCTTGTTCAGTCTGGAGAAGAGGAGGCTCAGGGGCGACCTTATTGCTCTTTACAGATACCTTAAAGGAGGCTGTAGAGAGGTGGGGGTTGGTCTGTTCTCCCACGTGCCTGGTGACAGGACGAGGGGGAATGGGCTTAAGTTGCGCCAGGGGAGTTTTAGGTTAGATGTTAGGAAGAACTTCTTTACTGAAAGGGTTGTTAGGCACTGGAACAGGCTGCCCAGGGAAGTGGTGGAGTCACCATCCCTGGAAGTCTTTAAAAGACGTTTAGATGTAGAGCTTAGGGATATGGTTTAGTGGGGACTGTTAGCGTTAGGTCAGAGGTTGGACTCGATGATCTTGAGGTCTCTTCCAACCTAGAGATTCTGTGATTCTGTGATTCTGTGAAATACATTTGATTTTATTAGATTTATTTATGCAGTAAATATTATTTTAATTATATGGTGTCAATGTATAGTAATGGGTGCTGTGTATTCCTTCTAAGGAATGTTTCAATTGAAACACAACACAGTTTAAACAAAATATCTCCGTAAACAAAACACAATGGAAGGAATATAACAAATTTTGAAAATAAAAATATTTTTAGAATTAGCAGATGTCCGTATGATTTTAATCATTACCACATATAAGCATACATCTCATCAGTGGGAGCTCTGATACTTTGTAACTGGTGGACATCTCAAATGGCAATTTTATAGTAGACTGGTACGTATTGTCATGTGTCTGAGCATGTGTAAAGTGTACATCACACATTTGCTTTTTTATATTTCTGTTTTAGACTGCCAGATAACTGTAGAAATGGTTTATTCTGGTGTCAGGTATATATTTAAGATAATTTGGAATTTGGGATAAAGATTGTAAACTATTTCCATGAGCTATTTCTCACACAGTGTAATTTGTATTTTTTTCCCCTTCTAATTCTTCAATAGACAAATAATTTGATGAAAATTAATAATTTTGTCATTGTATGTAATGAATAAACAAAAGTAAATGTGCATAGCATTTAAACTTAAGTGGCAGTTCCAAATGGGCTGTTTCTTATTCTGGTGTAAGGAATGCATGGACAGAAACTTGCAGGTGTATTGTTACACCTCATCTTTAGTTAGGAGGCTAGTCTTCTAGCATCTCTGATAGTGCTGGAAAAATATACCAATCTGCAGAATTCAGGACCTGCTCTATCCAGAGGTGTCTGTGGTGCTTCCATATTAGTCCTTTAGGATTAGAAATATATTTTTAAAGCAAATCTTTCAGTCATTTTCATTTACTGTGCTAGCACAAAGAGCATCACAGAGTGGTTTCACAGAGAATGTAATGGATATCCTCTTAGTTATGGAATTAAGCCAAAGTGTGCACCAACACTACCATTTCCTTTATTAAGTTCCACATTTCCTGAAAGTAATATGGAAAACGAAACATGTACTAGATGGCAGGATGCACTTCCAAACTGCATCGCTCCCTTAATAAACTTGAGTAACGCACGGCACTTGGACCGGCACAAGAAGCCCAGAATTCTGCTCGTTGCCCGCTAGATGTCACAACTGAAACAGAAAAAACTGGGAGAAGACTTTTTTTTCTGTCTCAAAAGTTGATTGTTCTTACCACACCTTAAACAAAGTAGAACTCCAGTCCAAGAAATTCCAAGAAGTTTGTTAGGTTCTTTTAAAGCTACGACTCCTCTGACCTTGTTTATTAACTGGAAAACACTGAAAATATTTATAAGAAACCACGCCTGGAATGTTCTATTGAGGCTTGGCCCCACATGGTAGTAGGCTTCTCCATTCCTTACCCTAACTTGCCTTCCTCTGCTTCTCTTGCATCTAGAGCCATTTGGATTCCTTTTTTTTTTTTTTTTTTTTTTTTTTTTTTTTTTTTTTTTAGTGAAAAAAACTGGTAAATCCTGTTACACACCTGGCTACCTGAAAGTTTCAAATAGGCAGTCTTCCATTTTCCTGTTTTATTATTACCTATTGTATGCATCGCATCTGAGAAGTCTACTGTGACAATGCCCTGTTTTTGTCATTGCCACGGTGACACTAAGATTATGGATAAAAATGAAAGGATACAAAATCATCCAGGCAGCTGTATTTGCCTAATTTTAGGCAATTCGAATTCTGAAAGGCTATTCTATGTTTAAATGTTTTTAAATCCTACCAGAGGTATTCTTTGTTTTAATGGTCGTCATTTTTAGACCAGCTTTCACTGATTTTGTTTTAGCTGCTGGTTCATGTATTAAAGCATTTTAAAGTAAGAAAAGTCAATTGTCAGGATCAAGAGGATAGCCTTCTTGCTAAGCTAAGTAGCCCGTAGGTGAGCACGTTTCAGCCATGTTAACTAATAATTGTGTATGAATTAGGATGCTGCTTTTTTGATTTCCTCGGGGCTCACCTAAATTACCTTCTATTTTGGCTAGAATTGCTGTTGCATATGACAGTAGAAAAAAGGCAGAAAGGATGTTGATCTGAGCAAATGTTTGGGAAAAAACCTTGAATACGGGCATGTTTCAAAAGATGCTTCTCTATAGCCCAACAGAAGGTGTACTTCATTACTTGTGCAGATCCTGTTCCTGCAGTGGAACAGTTGCCTTAATTTTGTAATGAACTTTGGTACTTATATTTATTATTCTGCCTCTGTATTTTGCCATGTTTTTTTCTAGTTTAGAGTTCCCTAATGGCAGCTATTCTTGCATAACACTTAAGACCAAAGAGAATAAATCACAGAACCTTGTTTGATACATTAAAATAGACTGAGTTAAAGTTCATTCATTTAGCAGATTTTTTTCCAAATATTAAAGTACCAATTTATTAAACTGCAGAGATATTAGGGCTTCATTTAATATTGAATACTTTAAATACAACTATTGACATTCAGACATGTAATTCAGACATATAAAACTGACAGAGGACAATAATACTTTGCATTTAGTTAGTGTATTATATCCAAAGTTTATAAGCATCATGCAGTCACCTTAGCTGTTGCATTGTTACTGTAAATCTTGTCATAGTCACTTTACAAAATAGGCACATGTGGCACAGAGAGACTAAGTAGCTCAAGATCCATAATTATGAACACAGAATTCAGAATTTTTCCTACAACCATTAAACAACCATTTCTTTTCCTGAAGTAATAAACACATTACACAGAACATCCCTTTAACTTTTCCCAACAAACTCGTGACAGTGCTCAGTTAAAACAGCTCCAGTTCCATCAGACCTTTGTTGTGAAACTAACTGAGCAATTTCTGAAGCAAGCTAATATTCAGGATGTGATAAATTCATCAACACAGCAAAATGACAGTGAGAGGATATTGAACATTGTACATTGTACATTGAACCCTTAGAATTCCCCAATCATCCCCAAACTTATGGAAAAATGCATACACAAACTTACCATTATATGCAAACTTCAGCTGCTCAAGTTAGTAATATAGGGCCAGACATCTCCTTGGCCTCAGTTCTCCTTCTCTCTCCCCAGTCCATAGACTCATTTATTTTGGTGTAACTGTTCTGTTAAATTGTCAGCTTCCTGATAAGTTAGCTCATATAATGTAGTTCACTACGTACTTTGCTAAGGAACTGTATTTTCCTCCCATGATTGGGAAGTACCCTATAACTCACTGCACGTAGGGAGAGGGGATTGATTGCTGCTATATAAAAGGGCATGCCTGCTTTTGGGAATTAGTGTTCATACTTAGAAACAGTTAAATCAATGGCTGAGCAAGGGAAAGCCTGGAGCTGACAGGGTGAAATCTGCAACCTGTGTGAAATCTGTGTATCTGCAAACGCCTCTGTCAGTGCCATCTTCCAACCTTTCCAAAGAAGCTCTTTTCACAGAGGCGTGTCGCTGAAGTTCTGGATTGAACTGAGCAACCTGATACAATGTCAGTGACATTACATGACAACAGTGACATTACATGACAACCCTGAGCAACCTGATGTAATGTCAGTGCTAGCACAGCTTTGAGTTGTAGGTTGTATTTAGATGTCTTCCTGAGACTCCTTCCAACCTGAAGTATTAAGTATCATTCTATGCTTCTCCTGAAATATTTAACAGCATTTACAGCGTGACTAATAATAAGCAATTAAATATAAAGGATAGAAAGGGTAAAAAAAAATACTTCATATATTTTATTTCCTGTTTTGCAAGCTTGAGTTGCTGCTCATGACTCTCCCTCATTATAGTCAGAAGAGTTTTCCTATTGTAAGATAAAGATATACGTGAACTGGTATTGCCACTGCAAGCTTAGGCTATTTGCCAAGGCATAGGAAGAAGAAAATACACGTAGTCCAGAATTAACTGCATTCTGTAAGTTCAGAGGCAACAGCCTATCCTTCTTGATTAGTGATACTATGAGGAGTTTGGGAAGTATCTAGGACATAAAAATACTACTCTTTTCAGTGAAGTTGATGGGTACTGGTATAAATGAAGCAAGCATGTTATTAAAGAGAAACGGTATGTTACAATATGGCTTTCCAAAAAGTGTATGACTTGAAGGAAGATATAAATAAATAGGTCAGATTTTTCAAACAGTAGAACATTCTTTTTTGGCTATGCAAAGTACCTTTTCCTGCAGAAGATCTCTCTTCTCAAGCAGTGTGCTCCCATGTTTAAAACAGTAAGCTAAATGAGGAAAACAAAAAAACAAAACAAAACAAAACAAAACAAACAAACAAAAAAAAACAACAAAAAAAATTGACCAACCACAGAAACCATACTCTGTTTCTGCCTTTTCCTTATCTGAATAATTTATAATCACTGAAGATCTCTTTTCATATCTCCAGTTTTGTTCTACGTGATGAAAGAGAGAATCTCAAATTGTAAAATATGTACAATAGTGTAACAGTTCTGAGATTAACCCCTGAGTTTTTCAGATTCCTGATTGGAATTAGTTCTTCTTCAAACGTGTTAAAGGTGTTATATGCACGTTTCCCACTTGTACAAAGACTTGTTTATAAATGACAGTTTTCCAAAACCTTCTACTTTATCCATGCCTTATGTTTATCCAGCCTTTGAAACCAGAACATTTTGTTTGATTGAATTTATGAGATGCTTTTTAGCTCAAAATAAATCAGACAATTATCAGGGAATGTGAAGGATCTTTTTGAATGTCTTTTTGAAATTATGGTTACAAAGAGGATACAGGAACGGATTTAAAGTGGAATTCAGATAGCCAAGCCATATAGTGACCATTTGTAACGTGCTATATCGTTCATCATGGTGGAAAGCTATTACCATGTATAATACAAAATAGGGAATCCAGCACAACATAAAGGCTGCCATTATGACCCCTAACTGCTTAGCTGCTTTCCTCTCCCTGTTCACATGCAGTCTTCGAAGATGGTTTTTGGAACGAGTATGCAGTCTTTGCCAGGTTTTCCTCAGGTAAGTCAGTCCTTTGGAGTCCCTGTTCTCTGTCTTTTCCTGAGGACTGCAGGCTCTTTCAGGGTTAGGGCTGGACTCCTCTCCACAAGGTACCTCCTCTGTGAAAGTTTGGCTGTCTGATGCATCACTCAAGTCACTGTCCTGTGAGAAAAGGTCCTCTTCATTTTTGTTGTCCTTTGTTACACTCTTCTCTCCTGTTTTATCCAGGCCCGGCTCAGACTGGGCAGTGGTGAGAGGGAAACAGCTCCATTTAAGGACTTCGCTATTCCTCCTGCTAACGATAACTTTTGAAGAGCTGTCAGGATCACTGAAATGAAGCTTTGCTTCTGTATTTTTGGGCTGAGGGGACCTTTGCTTGTCTCTGGGAGGTGTGTTCTCATCTAAGATTTGCTTTTGGAGACAAATACTTTGCTTGTCCTTTGTCTTACCAGGCTGTACACTTTTGCTTTCAGAGAAAGACAAATATGATCTGTTGATGAGCTCTCGGTGTTGGCAGTGCTTACGAACAGCTATGAATATTTTGCAGTAGAAACATAACATCAAGATAGAGGGTAGGTAGAAATTGACAAAGGCTGTGAACACTTTGAACCAGGTAACTGTAGAGAAATCAGTTTCACACTTTACAATTTCTTTCTTTTTCTCAGCACCAGCAAAAATGTGCCACCCTAGTATTGGGATGACCCACAAGAAAGACAGCAACCAAGCCCCCAGAATCATTAGTAATGCTCTCATTTTTGTTCTATACTTGAGATATTTCAGTGGTTGCTGGACTGAGCGATAACGATCTATGCATAATATGAAGAGATTGAAAATAGATGCAGTGCTGGCCACATAATCCATGGACAGCCAGAACGAACAGGCTGTTACACCCAGGGTCCACACATAGCTGTTTAGGAGATAAACAATATTAAGGGGCATAACAGCTGCACCAACTATAAGATCTGCAACAGAGAGGCTGACAATGTATAAATTGCCAACTGTTTGCAGCTTCTTTTCAGTTTTCACAGCACATAGTACTAATATATTCATGACAACAGTGATCAGTGAAATGCTACCCAGAAACAGACCTAGGAGAGCTGAGTGAGTGTTAGTTGAGTTCACTGTTGCGTTTTCTGTCATCTTTGCTCGAGTACAGAGAATTAAAATCAGAGAAGGTGCCCAGGCCTTGGAAATTCAATCTTCGTTTACACTCCTGGATGAAAACTTGTTGGGCTGCTTTGCGACTTTTATTTCCGTAACTATCGAAAAGAAAAGAAATATGTTCAGTCACTGTAATCCCAAAATAAATTAATGAATCACAGAATCACAGAATTTCTAGGTTGGAAGAGACCTCAAGATCATCGAGTCCAACCTCTGACCTAACGCTAACAGTCCCCACTAAACCATATCCCTAAGCTCTACATCTAAACGTCTTTTAAAGACTTCCAGGGATGGTGACTCCACCACCTCCCTGGGCAGCCTGTTCCAGTGTCTAACAACCCTTTCAGTAAAGAAGGTCTTCCTAACATCCAACCTAAAACTCCCCTGGCGCAACTTAAGCCCATTCCCCCTCGTCCTGTCACCAGGCACGTGGGAGAACAGGCCAACCCCCACCTCACTACAGCCTCCTTTAAGGTATCTGTAAAGAGCAATAAGGTCGCCCGTGAGCCTCCTCTTCTCCAGGCTGAACAAGCCCAGCTCCCTCAGCCGCTCCTCGTAGGACTTGTTCTCCAGGCCCCTCACCAGCTTCATCGCCCTTCTCTGGACAAATATCCATTTCATGGATATTCTATGAAAAGTATTGAAGCAATTTCTATGAACCAATCAAAAAATGTTTGTAAAGGTACTCCTTGGGGCTCCTTGTAATTCTGGCCCTGGAATCTGGAGAAGAAATTTCAGTCCTCATTGTTTGAGTTTCTCATTAAATTGATGATCATGAACCATAACATAAACTACATACTGGCAAACCAATTTAAAGTGTCTTAAAAAAACTTATGATCATATTTTGTACTAAATAGTTTGAAATGAAACAATGATTATTTACAAACTATATCCAATAGTTTGAATATAGCAGTTGGATTTGGTATTCCAAACAGTAAAAAAAGCACCAGTCAGTATACACCTCTGGCTGATACACAAATAATCACAGATAAAGTCACAAATAATTCCTAAGGCTGTAGCTAGTGCCTATGTTTTCATTGGTAGGCTGTTGCTAAAATTGTATGTAACAAGTAAACTCTTTCTACCCAATTTAGGCTTACGTATATTCAAACCATAAAGATGGGCATATATTTTATTTCAAATGCAAATTAATACAATTTCAGGGAAAGCAATAGGATTTTTTTGATTAATAAGCATCTGGCAAACTCTCAAATGTATATCAATCTATGGTTGATATACAACCTGAATATGCTGATATACGCAGAAGATTAGGAGTCATTCAGGTGCCTAGGAAACATACACAAGAGCTATTGGTCATTAAGTTGTAGAAGCCAGATCATTTGTGCATGCTTGCTGTTGCTGTTTGCCATATTGAATTTGAAATTAAACTGGAAATAGGAAGAGATGAGGCTGGACACATAGCAAACCTTCTCTTTATGCCTAAGTATCTTTTTCTGATAATTTGTCTTTAATAAATGAGCTACTTTTATTTGCTTAAACTTTGGCATGAGACACGTACAGAGCCTTCAGAGATAAAATTCATTTAAATCGTCTATATTCCCACAATTAGAGTGTCACAAAATTCCAGTACATGTGCTGCAGTAGAAAAAAAAGGGAAAACCTATTAAACACCCACCATGACATATACAAAACCTATTTCACAGAGGGTCACATTTGCGCAACTAATCTCGCTTTCTAGTGGCATTTATTTCTACATACTATTTGGCAGGTGTTATCAGAGTGACAGATTTCATTTTTACAGACACAGCGTTGTGCAGCTTTATGTTGTCTTGATCTACATAGGGAAACAATATAGGTTCATACTTCATTTATGGTTTCACAATAGAGGTTTCTATTGAGATCAAAGGCCTTAATTATAAAGCATGTAACTTCTTCCATTTTCTAACACAAGCATAGTAACTCAAATATTGGCAATAAAATGGGAAAGAAGGAAAAGAAAGTGAGGGAGTATAGAGAAAAGTACCTTTTTGAAGCTGAATAGATATGCTCTTCTGTTATCTACAAATTCTCTATGCCTTTGATATCTTCTACTTCCCAGCTGCTAACTTTGTGAATTGATCTAAAGTTCAAAGGAGAATTAACAATATTGTAAGTCTTGGAGCATATGATCAGTTGACCAATTCTATCTCCAAGATATATAAGAAAATCATCTGTAAGAGTGATAAATATTTTCTGCCATTTTTCTCTTATAGTGTTTGTCCAAGTCTGTGTTTTGGTATATCTCTTAAAGCAATGAGGAAAGAAACTGAGATTTTAGACGTGTTGGCTCACAATATTCATACAGCTAACACTGATAGATATTTATTAGATTTCTCATATTTGTTAATCCAAATATCAATATTTGTAATTACTATTTATTATTAATATTATTAATAATTACTAAAATATTAATATTATTAGTCAAAACAATGCAGTGTCATGCATTATTCAATGTTAATTTAATGCTAGCTTTATCTTGTTCTTATTCTAACAATCAAAGATGGAGCTGCAATGTTTGCATGCTTTCTTCTGAGAGATCAAATTCCTTGTTCCTTAAGTTTTACCCATAAAGGCCTGGCATTATGAAAAAGGAGGTGTGCTTGGTTGCAGTAGCATGTATAGGCAGGGGAAATACGTACACTGAGGAGTATGAGCTCAAGACCTCTGTTCTGTAATTCTGTGTTCTGCACAACCTTTGTGTTCTGTTGTGTACCGTTCTTCAGTGAGGGCTAGTGTCAGAAGATCAGAGAGGCCTCAAGCATCTCCTGTTTGAGAAAGGGAACAGATATCACTTTACATGTCTTAAACCAATGTGTCTGGTGGCAGGAAATGGTTACATCCCAGTCTGTTACTGTTCTTTTGACAGCTATACGGTGTAATCTCTCTGCTGAAGTACACAGGGTATGGTCAAGTCAGGAAGTTGATATCAGTTGCCTCAAGTCAATAAGAAATTATAGATCTTCCTTTCCTCATGCTTCCAAGTAAATGTACAAAATAAAGGGAGAGACAGCAACCTTAACTGAGTCTTCAGCTGAAAGAATAACAGCAAAGAAAGGTACCTGATAGACAGCTCTCCACAATTACTTGTCAAGTGCATATGGAATGAATCAGATTATTTATTACAATAGATGGTGCTGACTGCTTTCCAAGCTGTCTCTTTAGCACTGCTGATAAGGTTGACGTAAGGATAGGATTTATGAAACAGCCAACAGTACTTGTTCAGGTCTTGTTTTAGGAGTACTTCTGTTCCAAAGAAGGCATGAAGTTCCAGTTTTTCAACTCTTGCTCCACTCTTGATCTTTAGTTAACTGACAAAGTCTGCTTACTTTGCTGTTTTGGAGGAGGGAGAATGTCAAGTGTTGTCAAGTGTTGTACAGGCTATAAAAATCCAAGAATTACATGCTAATCATCTGAGACTGCTAAGAACAAAGAAAATACAGAATAACGTGTTTTTAAACTTTTCAAAATGCACATGCCAACATGTACTCTCTGTCTGATAATATAATTTTCATGGCAATGGCATTTGAGCAGTTCAAAGTCCCTGTTGGATTTTATGTTCTGTACTTCATAGAGGCTTGGCCATACACTATTAAATTTTAAAGTGACATTGAGGAACAGGTCACAATGATCTGCTCCACATCATACAGGAATGTTAGAGCTAAAAACAGCCAAACCTCCCTGGCTCTCCAAACAGCGTTCTAACTAGCTTACTGTTTTCTTTGTTTGTCTTGTTTTTTTTTTCTAGATGTTGTGTCTGAATTCATTCAGACACCCTAGGCAAGCAATACTGATTTAGAAATTAAATGCCTATTTTTTAAACTTTAATCCAGTGCAAGCAACTTAATCTGCTTTTGATCTCTGTTGTAATAAGGCCGTTTAAGTGATAGGGACTAATATAACTGAAGTGGGACCATACCCAGTAACAAATGGGTTAATTAATCACTAGAGAGGGGTGGCAAGAACCACTTGCCTTGGTCTAGGGTGAGTAGTTCTTGAGGCTGGATTAGGGTGCTTGAATGTTACAGTAACACTGCATTTTCCCTATTGAGTAGTTTATGTTTTCTACATATAATGTTTTTAATGCCCCTGACTTTGTGAGTGTTCTCAAGGTTTGGGCAACTTCTGTTTTGTTGAGTGGTGATGAGAAAAGGAGCCACTACAAGAGGTAACTAGAAGAGTGCCCCCCTATCTTCAGCATGGAAGCTGTATAGCCAGCACATACTTCCTACCTACCTATTTTTATATGAGGAGAAATTTTGCCTCTGAATCCATTAGAAAGATGTAACAAGAGACTGAGTTGGCCACAAAATGCTTAGAACGGAAGAAAAATGCAGTGTTACCTTTGGATGATCTAGTCATCGCGACTCTTTTTGCATTCCCTAGCATGCAACACCACATGCTGCTGCTGTTTCTACCTAACAGTACGTAATGATAGGTGTTCAGCAGCATATCAGACATGCTGCTATCCTACACTGATGTTTGGACAGGGAACAGAAGTCTCTGGCTTTCTTGAGCCTTCTAGATGCCCAAAGAAGACCTCCAACACAATAACCTCTGTGCATTTTGCACCTGTCAGTGTCCATGCTCTTTCCATAAGGAGTGAGTTGCAGGGGGTCAGTATCTCCATCTCCTACAAAGTTCTACAGAACTGTAAGAGGGAATGCAGTGAGCTTCTCCTAGGCAGTGAAGGTAACTGTAGGCAAAATGGAGAAGTATTTAGTTGAAGAAATGTCATCAGTCAGTGCCCACTGGCCTCTATTTGGAGCTCTGACCCTTGTACCACAGTCTTGCCCACTGAGCTTACATTGAATTGCTACACGATTGCCAGTTTTTGCTAGAATTGGCACATTTTGCCACACAGCTTTGTCCACTGGAAGGTACTAAAAAAGTAATATACTCTACTCCGTATTACGTAATCCACTGATCACCCCTTCTGGACTCTAGGGAAGACTATAATCTACAAGCTTTTTTCTTAAACTTCCTACCATCATCAATAGTGGTGATATTAGCATTGTCAGCGTTCAGCGATGGTGAGAGCGCTGTGATCTGCAATGCCAACTTCCTGCTCTTTCCTAGAGGCACACACCATTTTGTAGTGGCCGTAGGCTGTTTGTTGTTTACGTACCCCTGTTCAGCAGAACTTAATTCCTTATCTAGAACTCAGTTCCCAATAGAGGAGCTATAAGAATACCAAATAAATGTGTTTTAATAGTTGGGTGGCTTAACTCATTATACTGGGCCAAAGCTCACTAATAAATAACAGATTTTAAATTTAAAAAAAGTAATAAAAATATCGGTCTAACATCTTGGACAGCTCTTGGAATTTCTAAACCCTGACCTCACCATGAAAGTACTTTGTTCACTTTTACTGTCTTTAAAGAGTTGTTTTTTTCCTGCGTGGAAAACCAGCAATTGAGATTTGCTTGTTATTGTATCACTGTGGTAATTCTGAGGAAGAGTCTGCTGGGAAATGCTAAGTAGTTACTTGACTCAGTAGTGCAGGTGCAACCTATTAAGCTCTGACTGAATGGGATTAAGTTTCTACAAACAGATGCTAGCATATTTCTTATAAGAGAGTTTTAGAGAAGCTCTATCTACAACAAGAAAAGGCTAAGCTAGAATAAAATTCTTCTTCATCACCTTGTTTGTTCCAAGTTCGAGGCAGGTGGTAGGGTCAGATTTCACATCGACCGTGTTGCATTTAAGAAACACATTTGTTTCTAGTGACCTTTTAAATATTTTTCTTTGTGCGTTAAATGCATTAACATACTTGAGGTTGATAAACTTTCTTTTCAAAGACTTTTTTATTTCTCTATTAGATAAAGCTTTCTGAGGTAAAGTCATCCTATATGCATACTCAGTATATATATGCTTTCTCTGGCAATTACAAAGAGTTACCTTGAAATCACTGTAGTTTCATCTCTTTTTGTTCTGTGTTTTTACCTTTTTCTCCCCGTATTTTGCAGGAAGTAAGCAGTGCAGTGATTCATGTTCAATCCATTTTTGGCAATTCTCTAGTTTAGAATATCTGGTTGTGATTACATGAGATGGCCTAGAGTTTTGTAGATACACTTGGTCCATGTTGCATCTACGCATATTAGATGTCTGGTTCTTATTAATGTTAAAGCCTTTGCAGGATGACTAATTGATTACAACTGTTGTTAAGTTACTCCAGTGGCTTACACCTCTTAGTGTTTAAAAACATATATCATGGTTTTGAATCTCAGTTTCTTACAAGTGATTCCTGTTGGAACAAAAAGCCTCCTTTGCTACAGCAGTCAATGGTGTTCTCAGTTTAGTATTTTTCAAATACCTGCACAAAATGGTAGTTGAGTTTACAAGATGCACGAAATTCCCTTTAGACTTCTTTTTGGTTGTAGTGACCTGTCTGATCTACCTAGAGAGAAAAAAATCCTTCAGAATATATAATTCTGAAATTATATAATTTCAAATACATATTTGGCTACTCTAGCATATTTTGTTATTGCTGGCCTTTCATCTGCAAGATGCACGGCATTTTTCTATCCAGATGACCTAGTGCCTAAGCCCAGGAAGAGACAGATTTTTCCAGAAAAGTATCTGCCACTATTAATGGAAATAATGGACTGTGTCTACATTTAATTTATCTCTTGTATTTAGCCTGAAATGAAGAGACAGCATAATTTATAGCCTTAATGTCAGGACCAGTCAAATTTGGACCTGAGGGAACAGCATGAGGCTGCAATAGGGGAGACTGAGGTTGGGTATTAGGAAAAGATTCCTCACTGAGAGGGTGGTCGGGCACTGGCGCAGGCTCCCCAAGACAGTGGTCACGGCACTGAGCCTGCAAGAGTTCAAGAAGCATTTGGACAATGCTCTCGGACATAGGGTTTCATTCTTGTGTGGTCCTCTGTGGAGCCAGAAGTTGGACTTGATGGTTGCCATGGGTCCCTTCTAATTTAGGATATTCTGTGATTCACTGAAACTTTAACAGTCTTCCCAAATGGTCCCATTCTCCCTACAGACTTTTTTGTTTTTTTTTTAAATAAAGGTAGTGACAATTAAAAGTGAATCTTTCATTACACGAGCCAGCAAGATAGACTGCCATAAATACTTTCATTCCATATCTAAGTTATGACTCTTGCTTACCACAAAAGATTTGCACATCTGGCTGTCAGTTTTGCATAACCTCGTATCACATGCATTTGGTGCCAGAGGGTTTGCAGCGGCTCCTTATGTAAATGATGTCTTGGGAAACAGACGAAGGCACAACTAAAGTAGCAAATGGATGCAACAGCAGCTGTGCTGAAGCTGCTTTACCACTTAGAAAGCAGAGAGGAAAGTGCTGTCAGTTGTCAGATCTGTGATTTGAATATTGATCCCAGGAGTCAGACACCCTGGAAAACCGTGCAGGCCTTTAGCATGTTGGTGGTTAGTGGTGAAAGGGAGGGCAAATACAAGCAGACTGTTTCCGAGACCTCTTCAACTTCACTTCTGAAGAGCTGGACTGGTCCAGTGTTGTAACTATTCCATTTCTCCTCCTCTTCCTGGTTGAGTCATCTCTTGCCTGTTCAATGCAGTAAATGGGTTGTGTAATACCAGATCAAGAACCAAGAGGGACAGAAGGAGTAAGGTAGCTTCTTCCATGCTCCTGAGATACATTTATTCAAGTATCCCTAGAAATGCACATGACAACTGATTTTTAAACTACAGCAACTGAAGACTCCTGGAATTCATGTATCCATTGTTCTAAACATACAGTACACTGTGAGGGGTCCTCTTGTGCTTGGTGCAGTGAGTGGGACACCACTTAATGCAGTATTGCAGGGGGACTAGAGTGAGGTCATCGCTTCTGCCCTGTTATACAGGAACTATATGGCTTACCTGTGGTCTGGTCTGTGACGTCAGATTTATCCTTTTTCCTCTAACTTGGATAGAGATATTCTGAGGATAGCAAGCAGACCCTAAGAACAACAAAAAGACAGAGCTCAGAGCATATCTTGAAGGGAACTTTGAACTTTTAAGTAACTTTGAACTCTTTTGGGGGGGGAGTATTATTAGGGTATGGACTATCAGGATCACAAATAAATACTTCTGCTTTTACTTGATTGAACAATGCACCACTTAAGGAAACAAAGTGTAATATTGCCTCAGAGCAAGAGGATGTTTGGGCAGGCTAGAAGGGGTTTGAAAATATAAGTCAAGTTCCACTTACATCTTGTAGGTGATGATTGACTTGATTGTACTTGATGTTTTCAGGCTTTAGTTTCTCTGGAATTGGTGCAGTTGCTTCTGCAGCCACTTGCATCAATTAAATTGGCAGCCTATATTGGTAGCTGCTGTCAGCCCAGATTTTTCTGATTGCTGTTCCTTATACTTTCACCGGCTTCACTAGGCATCAAACTGGAACTACTGCAGTTCTAGCTCTCTGCCAGCAAAAAGTTTAGACTTCCATAGCCTTCTGAAATAGTCAAAGTTTTAGCACAAATTTCTGTGTGCAGCCATGATGTCCTTAATTCCTTAGCTTTTGTGATGAGGACAGAACCGTGTAAGGAAGTGGGGTGTGTGAATCCACGTGTCACCACAGTGCTGTCTGAGCTCAACTCTTGATTACAATGCTGTACCATATCTGCCTGTGAAAAGTTCTGTCTCCTTCAGAAATAACTATCTCTTTTGGTGATTTGACCATGCCCTCCTAAACCCATTACTGTTGTACCATTCCATTCACTGGATTAAGAATACTGCACTGGATCCTATTTTTAATCTTCCTCTTGTTTTATTGTCTTGGGTAATTACAAAGTGTGTGTGTTGCTGTTAAACTTCTGGCGGTGGGTAGGAGGGAAACAGGAAAGGAAGGCTCAGCTTTTAATTTTGTGCAGTGAGAACAAACATGCTTAATTTACCATTAACACATTGCTCACATTAAGTAGTACTATTATATCATTATTATAAAACTTTGTTATTCTAAACAAACAACTTCCCCCTGTCCTCCAAAACAAACAAAAAAACCTGCAGACAATTCTGATTGAAATACTACAACAGTGCACTTACATGGGGAAATATCTTGCAACAGAAATAGTCTGAAATAAATCAAATCCAACCCAATTATTTAACCTAGATCACTACTCATTTTGTCCTTTACATCTGGATCTTGTCTTTGTGCTCTTTGGCATTGCCAAGCACAACAGGTTGTTCTCCAAACTTATACTGAAAGGGCCAGTTCTTGTGCAGAGACTAATCAAAAAAATACTCTTGTGGAGGTTCTTGCTGTCATCAGTGGAACTAGAACTGTCAGAGCTCTTTTCCTTGAGACAGGAGAATCTCTCCCAGGATAAAACTTCTCTCCCCCCCTCCCATGTTCCTGTATATCTCTGTTCTGTGTTCTAGACCTACTTCGATAAAGTAAGTTACTTGATCTCCCCAGATGACCAAAAAAAGCATCTTTTACAGTATGGTTCATATATGATGAACCGTACATGAATCCAGAAGTGTATGTTTCCAGTATACAAGGAAAACACACAAACCCCTAACGCTAAGAAAGTGGTAGCTGAAAGGCATGTGCTTGGAGCAATGGCAATCCAAGTGTCAGAAATGGAAACCAAATCCAAAATACTTGTGTTAGTTCAAGGAAGTGTTCGCATAACCAATAATATGCGATATATATCAAGTCTTTTCTCAAAGAAGACAGTAGGCAAGCTCTCCCTTAGTACATAAGTAAGGCATACAGGCCAAAAAGTGAAGCTTGATATACATCTGGAATACTTCCCTGTGTAGAGAAATCCTTGTGTGAACAGAAGGTACTGGCAATAGTAGCATTCAACTGTATACAGATAAAACTTATGCATTTCCTAATTTCCACAGGTAGCTTACAATTGAATGCTAATTAGTGCTTTATTATAAGTATGAGCAGTCCCTACCAGAACAGGAAGTTAAATAACAAAACCTAGGATTTCAACTTAGGATCGATTCTTTGAAAGCATGATTTCTCCATGAAAGGACTGAGCATCTATGTCCTTGGAGTTTGTACAAACTCCACACTGGAGTCTGTATATTCTTATTCACATTCTACTTATCTGAATTTTTATATTTTCAGTACTGATGTGTTTATATAACCATGTTTTGTAATGCATAGAGACATATTTCGATACCTGAAAGCAGAGGAAGAGTATAAGAGTGTATCTTCCCATGTATTTCTATACATCTTGCTTTGTGCCAAAGCCATGATATTCTCCTCTTTTAGTTTTCTACCTTCAGCTTCCTGAGCTTCCCCAGGTTTTTCGTGATCCTTCCTCTCCTCTTTCATAGGAGGGGGGGAAATAAGCAATAGCTGACCTGTATGAGTAATGAGAACTACAGGAATAGTATCAGGAAATAATTATTATATATCTCTTGGTATTCAACCACTGACAGGACCTGACCTTGGCTAGGGAAACACTACTTATTTAAAAATAAAAAAATAATTACATAAATCTGGATGTGGTTCATAATCTGGAGACCCTGAATTTGCAGGAATACAGTTATTCCTCATTCCACAGGCTCATTATTTACCAGCAGAACCAGTGAATACAGTGGCTTCTGTGCTGCTTGTTTAGGAACATCCTGAAAACCCATTAGGAAAAGGAAAGATAAATGAACATTGTAGCTGCTTAACTGAAAATAAGGGGTTGGGGAAACCCAAACACACCAATGTTCTTTGGAGGATGGGTTCCTGAATTGACAAATGGAATAGTGAATTCCATGCGCGGCATGTAAAATTGAAAGAGGTCAAGCTATGTTTAGCATATTAGTCATCTCAAATATCTAAATTGTGAGATAGTAGATTCATATCATTCAATTCAGTAAATAAAGTACATGAGCAAATACCCAACAAGTAACCTAAAATCCTCATCTAATCTGGTTGCAGTCAATATCTTGCTATGTGTGGCTAGGTTATTACTAGAATCTATTCAACCTAAGAGATCTACTAAAATTTCCTCTTTGATATATTAAAATTTAAAATGAAGCCTATCTGGAGAGTCCTCAACAAAATTGTGTAGTCCTATCCACTTGAAAGTTGCCTTTTTTTTTTTTTTTTAAAGTTAATTGACAAGACCTCTGTAATTTGAACTGAGAAACACGGAGATTGAAGAAGTCTTTCATATACAGTGTACTTAGTAGAGTCAATATTTGTAGATGTGGATCTCATATATCCTGTTTTAACTTCCTACAATGCGACCTAAGCACAGATGAGCTGAATGTGTGGCTCAGTAGCTTTCAAGCACTGGTCGCATGGAGTGAGACTTGGGAAACCACTGGAAGTCAGGATGCTCCTATCTTATCCTGCCCCCAGCTGTATGATGTTGCTGTCTGCTGATAACTGACCATTCAATTCTATGTACAAAATTGAACCTTCCTAACTATAAGTTGATGTATACATGTGTTCAGCAGTCTAAGCAATACTTTTCTCTTGATACTATTGTACTACAAAATGTTTTGTTTTGTTTTTTTCTCCTGAAGAAATATATTTTAATGTCTGCATATCTTAACCTGAATTTATCCAGAGATAGATAGATGTACCCTTTTTCCATTGTTTTCACTGCCACTCTTGATCAACCCTCTTTAGCTGTGGGCCTGTATTTCATTATGAGCATTAAAAACAGAAATTTAATATTTATTCCCCGATACTATTCCTGTAGTTGTCATTACTCATACAGGCTAGCTGACAAAAGACAGAAATATTCCAAAGTACTCTCTGGTCTTTCAAAACGTAAGCTCAGAATTCTCTTAAACTCTTCTTCCAGTAACTCAACATTCCAGTTTAAGTCTTAAACATCAGTTTTTCCATGAGGATAGACCTGATCTTTCTTCTGTGGTTGTGTTTCCCACGTATGGGTTATTTTTGCCCACAGATTGCAGATGAGTCGATGGGGTGGAAAGACCATTGCGCCTGGAATTCTAAAGCTTCCAGACACAGCTTTAATTAGTCTTTCTAGCCTAAGCACATTGCTGGAGTAGTCCAGTTCGACACAAAGACCTGTATCAAAGTGATCGCTTAATGGCAACAGTACTGAAACACTAGTTTAAGTTCTGCAGTGCTGGAGAAATCTCATCAGCTAAGTGCTCTCTATTCCACTGCCTATCTGTAAAGACTTGCTGTAGCAGTGAAAACTAACTAATAACTCTAATCACCATTAATAGGTGTTGCAATAGAGGAAAACTCCTTTGTGTTTTGATGTAGTAAACAAAGTGACTAATCAACTGTAAAGTTTCTCATGGATGACAGGAGTTTTCCAATGCTGTTGTGCCTTTAAAGATGAGTAGCCACAGCAGTGCCTTCTCACCTTCTGGGAATCTGTTCTATTCTTGGAATACAGTAAACCAACTTGCCAAACCAGGACATCTTTCATACAGGGACAGCCAAACATTTTTAGAGTTCCTGGATTACCCCTTGTGTTACTTATTCCAACCCTTGACTGACTGTGAAACTGGCTGATTTTAATCTTTCTGCATCAGAAGTACAGTTAACCACTTTTTTATCTCAACCAGTCTCTCAAATGAGATCTGTTTCCAAGTGACTCAATATTGGAGAATTACTAGCCAAAAAAACAACCCAGATATATAAAACAGTTTGTTCTTTAGATGTTGAGGTTGTATAACCTGATAACCTATCTGCTGTTTGCAGTTTTATGGTTTCCGACAGAGAAATTTGGGTTTGAATAAAGGAAGCTTCATTGTCTGATAGAGAATGCTGGTCGCTTGTGACGCCTGATAGACTCATCTATGAATAAACTTCTCTGAATTCTGAGGAAACACTAGAAATATAAAGGAAACTTACTGTTTTACAGAGGAAGTCACTTAACTTTAACAACGGAGGACTTCTCAGGATGAGATCCTTCAAGATATCCTCTTTTCTCTCACTCTTAGTGTACCCAATGAAGAATCCAATGTTGTTCTTTTTAAAGGAAAATTGCAGAGCTCCCCTTTTACCAGAGTTAGTGTCTAGTGTCTGGTCAGGATAAGCACAGACAAGTCCATGATCACACTAATACCGCAATTCATAATAGAAAATGTCTTCATAATACTTCCGTACTAGGATTAAAAATAAATAAATAAATAAATAAATCTTTACTAGGATTAAAAAAAAAAAAAAGCCACAATAGTAGGCAAAATAGTAGCCAGGTTTTATAAAAGAGACTGACTGATCCCTTGTGGTCAAAGAATCAGATAAAAATTGCAAATCTTCCTCCTACACTCCACTCCCCCCCTCACTCTCCTCCTCCCTAAAAAAAAAAAAAAAAAAAAAGCTATTGAAGTTCTTGAAGTTATTGAATTTCTTATCAATAAGAAATTTATTTGTGAGTTTACCAAAATGACCATAAATTTCAACCCAAGTGAATCTTTGGTGCTTTTAAGTTATGAGAAAGATTTCATCATAGAAATGCACAAACTTATCTAGAGACCTTTCTTTGTAAGATCCTCATGGATATGAGAATTTACTGACTCCTTGTACTGGTAATAAAAGGAAACCTTATTTCTGTAAGTTCTGGTTTCAGCTCACTTATGTAAGCCAATGTTCAACATTCAGATCTCTAATTCAGAATATATACTGAGCTATTAGTCGTTTTAAACATCTGGAAACCTTACTTTAGTACTATACGAAGGAACTCAGCAATGTGCAGTCTTCCCTTTTTGGGGATGGCGAACGTATCTGGTGCAGTGTTTGTCCACCTCCGCCCTCCTCCAGGCAGATGTAATTTGCTCATTGGATTTTAAACAGATGATTAGGATGAGCTGGTGGAGCCCGAGGTCTCGTATAGACAGGGGGCCTGGTGCCTTGCAAATAGCCATAAAAGATGGGGAGCAGCTCATCCAAGAAGCCTGACTTGTCTCCATCAGTCCCGCTCCGTGGCTGTTTGGGGAGGGCTGGGAGCCGAAGTTAACCATTGCCACGGGACGGGCTGAGAGCGACTTGGGCCCTGCTGTCACCCCGCTTCATTGCCCCTCTCGGGATGGGGTGAACCTGTACGTATTAGAGAAACGTCCCCGGGTCTGTGTGTAAGCTGATGGCTCTAGAACCCTTCCCTGGAAAAAGCTTGACGTTTTCAGACGGGCGTGCGAGTTCACACCCAGGCACATCTCCCTCGTCGCTTTCCAACCCAGCCAGCCCTTCCCTGCTCCGCTCCCTCAGCACACCCCTTTGTCAGGAGGAGAGCTGCTTAAGTGTTTCGGGCCGGCAGGCAGCGCTGCCAGCGAGCCCTGGAGAACCGGGATGCCCCGGTACCAGCCCCAGTCCCAGTCCCAACCCCGGCCCCGGCCCCATGCCGCGCACGGCTCCCAAGCCCAGGACGCCGCCGGTGCCGGTGCCGGTGCCGGTCCCTGCCCCGCCGCCCAGCCGCCGGGACCCCGCTCGCTCACCGGTCCCGGCCGCTCCCGCTGCTGCCTCTCTTCTCCCAGCTCTCGGAGCCGGTGTCCGCGTTCCTCGGCTGGGCAGGGCGAGGGCTGCGCGCCCCGTCCCGCCCCACCGGCACGGAGCTGGCAGCAGCCCTGCCCGGCGCCCGGAGGAAGAGCTCGGCTCGTGCCCAAGGGCTTGGCTGCCCCTCCTCGACCCCAGTGCCGCTCGAGGGCGCTGGCAGCCCGCTCCCGTCCCGTCCCGAGCTGAGCTGTCCCGTCCCGAGCCGAGCCGTGCCGAGCCGTGCAGCCCCGCCGGTGGCGGAGCGCGGCTGGCCGTGCCGAGCACTAAATAGCCCGGGGGCGGGCCCGCCCGGCCCGGCCCAGCCCAGCAGGCGGCCAGGGGTCGCTGCCAAGACCCCCCCCGTCGGCACGGAGCGGCCGGGGCTGGGAACCGGCGGGCGGCAGCTCCCGGTGCTGGGCGAGGAAGGGCCCCCGGCGAGGAAGGAGCGCCGCAGTTGTACTGTCACGACAGGGCGCCAGACATGTCCCGAAGACTTTCACGGGTAGGTGGCAGCCCCGGTGTGCCGAGTATCTGCGGAGCTGAGAGGCCTGCTGTCTGCAGAGGGGAAGCTGCTCGTGGGGTGAAGAGGCGCCTTGATCCGAGATACCGCCAGGAGTTTGTGGAGCATCGGAACTCAAATCCTGGTTTGCCATCGTCCCCGGGCTTGCTTTAGCCACAGGGTCACCGGTGTCCTCCCGAGTGGCTCGGTGCTTTTAGGGGAGCAGTCTGAAACCCGAGATGGCTCCAGTGTCGAACACATCATTGCGTACCTCAGCTGAACTGGCTTTTGGTTGTGATTTCCGTATGTCCACTGTGTCTGATTTGTATTAAACATGCACACAGCTTTTTTGTTTGGTTGGTTTGTTTTGCAGAAAGCGACTTACCCATTTCCACTCTTTGCTTTAAAATTCTCTCTCTCTCTCTCTCTTTTTTTTTTTTTTTTTCCCCTTTCCTTTTTAGAAACGAATTGCACAAAACTGTGTATGGACTTAAAAGCAACATTTTGTTACATCTTGTGCAAGTCATAAAGAATTCATGCAGTGATGTTTTTGCAAACAGCATTGTTAGGCACTTAGTAATGTTCTTGTCTGTAGAAGTGCTGCACAGTACGGTTAATTTTGCATGCCCTCCCTCCCCCAAGCCTATCACCAAAATAGTGGGAAATACCCATGTTCCTGCCCTCGGGGGACAAGACCATTTGCCCCAAAAGTGCTCTCAGCGCTGAAGTGTAACCTGATTTCTTGTGCTGCTAGAGGAATCTTTCTGCTCTTCAATAAACTGTCCCATTAAATTATGACAAAATCATTACTTAACAAATGTGTGCTTGCATGCATCAGGCAGCAGCTGAATCCTAAGGGGAGGTTTTACACTGGAAAACAGCTTTGTGAGAGATCGAAATCTTTTCATACTCGTCATGCTTGTTATAGACTTGAAGAACAGTTTGTGTTCTACCAGCCTATGTCTTCCTATTATCTATTCCAATAATGTTTAATTTTGCTTCTGCGCCAGTTCGAAGTTCAGTCTCCTTTGCTTTTGTTTTGACGTGTTCATTATATCCAAATAGGCTTGATGTAGGTCCCTTTGGAAAAGCATCAAAAGTCAGTAGTGTTTATAACTTTCCTTATAGCACCCAGTTGCAATGGTTCTGAGTGATTATTCCACTTGACCTCTTCTATACAAACTGTTTTTTCTTTTTTTCGTTTTTTTTTTTTTTTTTTTTTTTTTTTTTCAAAAAAAAGCGTCAAAGCCAGAAAGTCTGTGGAGGCTTAAACTAGGGCTGCAGCATTGATGTGATGTTCCTCCCCCAAGTAAAGATATCTGTTCTGAACAGTGCATTAGTAGCTTCCCTTACAATGTCTGGGGCTTTGTGCTGTTGAAGATAGAAGGTGGCATTTCTATAGAAAGGACCTGAATATAAATTATCCCTTGTTACGTGTAGTGCTGCAGATGAAAACAGAGACTTGGGATGCTGTTGAGTGATGTGCCACGGCTGGGAGTGTAAAGTGCTACAACTCCCAAGGGGAGGACTTTGGGGCATGTGCCTCTATTGTGTCATGCTGTGTATCTGCTCCATACCTCTATATTTCTTCTGAAGTTGTAGCTCTTTGAGTAAACTCATATGAGTAAATGTCGTCACAACTCCTTGTTCATGCCATATATTTCAAAAGTAGTAGTATGTGATAGATTCCCCTCCTCTCCCCTTCCCTCCCCTTTCCCTGCTCTTATTGAAAAATAGCCTATTAAGAGATGAATTTCAAAATATGGAAAGGTTATTTCAATTTCGACAGGTATCCAAGGACCTGTCGAAAAGAAGTGAGTATTCATAAAGTTTGGATTAAGGTTCCACATGCTGTGTTTACCTGAAGATGAATAAAATTAACCAAAACAATTTGGTTCTTGAAAATATCCTTGAAAATATATTTATATTTATATTTATATTTATATTTATATTTATATTTATATTTATTATTTATATTTAACATTCATATTCATATGTTAATTATTATTAACATATTTAATTATTAACTATTAATTATTAATTTAATTATTAATTAATTAATTAACATATGTTAATTATTATTAACATATTCATATTTATGTTTAACATGAAAAAACAATGAATTGTGTTTCTTTCTACAGATACGTTTAGATTTGACTTTATCCTCCCTTCAAATGTGCCCCCTTGAGTGCTCTGCTTTATCCCCTTTAGCTTACATTTTTCAGGTGACTTAAGTGAATACCCACGATATGAGCTTATAGGCTTCTGACACTTGTGTTCCCATGTTCTATGATTTCTAATGTAAGTGAGAAGCTTTTCTTAGAAGACTCGTAAGGACAGTATAAACAGCCTATGGAGACGGTCTTCACTGTAAGACTTATTTGTCCTCAAGTGTTTATCTTAACTTCAGCATCAGTGCCATTATAAGAAAAACGATGAAGAAACAGCCTTGTTGCATAAGCCCCTTTTTCCATTCCATCCCTCCTATATGCTTACAGTCAATGCCTGGGCAGACAGAGTAATGTCCATGTGGGTGCGTGCCCTTACTAATGCATGCTTGTGCTTAGACCATCCTAGACTAGAAACTTCTGACCATATTCTGCAGTCTTCCCCTCACTGACAATGCCAACTCAAAGCTGTGTAGACCCAGCCCCTATGCTTCACTAAGCTTGTAAGAACTGTGAGATTTTTCATTGCTGACTGAAGTTTATCAGCAAGGTCAAATTTGTTAGACAGGACTAGAATGGTCTGGCAGATGTTACAGATGGAAGTGCAGGCACAAGTAAGGGAAAATGCAAACTGTGTAGCATCTATAACATCTATAGATGTTAAAAAAAAATCATCTATTTTTTAACATCTATAGATATTAAAAATAATCTATTTTTTATAAATAAATAATCTATAAAATAAATATTATAATAAATATTATAATAAAATAATAAAAATAATAAAATTAATAATGGTATAATATAATATCTATAAATAATCTATTTTTTATAAAAAATAATCTATTTTTTAATATCTATAGATGTTAAAAAAAGAACAAAAAAAAAGACAAAAAAAAAAAAGCAACCCCCCCACCATTAAGTACTACAGAAATTAAACCAGTCCTTGTTATTTTAATTCCAGAAATACTTATTTCTGAAGATACTTGGCTTTTGGCTTTGGATTCGGTGCTTTAATACTTAATCTGCTTTACAGGAGAAATTGGGATTCTCCTATTTTTCCATTTGCCAGTGACCGCATGAATCTCCCTGGAACACTTTTTTTCACATGTTTTGACCCTATTGTGTGTCTGTTCTTGGATTTCAGATCTCTATCATTAACAAGAGAACAGTGATGCTGTAAAGAAATTTGATCTTCATTAGTAAAATAAAATATGTTCAGAAGAAAATTAAGTTTAACAAATAATATTACAGTAGTAATCTGTTCTCTGCTTAAATACCGTTACTTCCTAGTAATGTTTACTGTGTATTTTTTTCATGTTTTGTATCACTACACATTTGAATGTTCTTCTGGAAAATCCTCTGACTTACCAAGGAATATCTTGAAGCTGTGCCATCTGCATTGCAGGAATAACTTTTTCTTTCTGCAGAATTTCACAAACATTTTATTATCCCTTGCATTTTTGATGCTACTTATTTTATTGCAATCCCTTTTTGCATATCTTAGGAAAAAATGCAGTATAAGTGATCTTATTACAATTCAGAAGTATTCTCTTGTTATGTTCCAAGTGATATTACATCAGACAAAGTTTTATTGGTAAATACCTCTTACACTGAATTGCTACTGGAAGTACTTAGTGATTGTTCAAGTTTCTTGTGGTTTGGTTAATGGCAAACAACATTCCAATAATTAAAAAGCTGTCATGGAAGGGTGGTCTAAATTTTTAGAGTGCTTGTCGCCAACTCCTTGCTATTCTGTCTGTATTGTTCTATGGTGCTTTTAGATTTCAGCAAATTCATGTCTTCATGAAAATCTATTTACTAGACAAGGAAGAAAATGTAGGAGTTGTTATGCAGCTGAAGTTAGTTATTCTGACTTAGCCAATGTGTAGTTTACCCATTGTTGAAATTCAACGACAGGTGAGTTAACCAACTTTAACAACTATTGTGAAGTAAGGTAGAAAAATCTGGAGGAGATGCGCTGTGTTCTATTCAAATTAAATGTAACAGCCAGGAGCCATGGCTTTTTATTCACAACTGTGCCACGTATCGCCACTGTATGGAAAACTGTTAACTGATTTGTGCATACCTCCATTGCATGGATGGGGAAAGTTAAAAGTAAAGTTGAGATCAGTAGTGTTTCATATGCTACACTGGGCTTCGACTTGGATTACAAATGGATGAAATTAAAAAATATTTATGCTGCTCTGTGGGAGAGACATACCTAGGATTTCTAGAGAAATATACTGATGATGCAAGAGGTCTGACAACATCCAGAAATCTGACTAATTTGAATACATGGGTGTTGTTTTTTGTTTGCTTGTTTGTTTTTGTTTTTTGTTTTTTAATGAATTCAAAATCCTGAAGGTTTTGACCATCCTTGATGAGACGCATCACTCTAATAAAGATGAGTCAGCTACATGTAAGAAAAAAATGCTGTCAAGATTCATTTAACTAAGACAAGTAATTAGAAACAAACACCTATCTGTTACCAAGAGCAAGGACTTGCATATTTCTAATCAGTTTATATGTTTCCCTTTGTAACTATTGCAATTACAGCTCTGAATTGCCATGGGTAATGGATGAGCAGATGCACTTATGCAGAAGCAGAAAGTGAAAATATCACAGGTAACAACAAACTGAAGGAGAGATACTAGACTAAAGCCATTTCCAGATGAGAAAATATGATTATGGAGGACGTTATACGTAAACAGACAACTTGGTCAGATATTACAAGGGTTTTCTTTGTTTGTATGTTTGTTTGC